TCCCCCTGGGTGCACTTTTTGGTTTTTGCCCTAACACTACACAGCTGATTCAAATAACCAACTCATCATCAAGCTTTGATTATTTGAATCAGCTGTGTAGTGCTAGGGCAAAAACGAAAACGTGCACGCAGGGAGGGCCCCAGGACTGAGTTTGGGAAACCCTCTCTTAGAGTTTGGTGAGAGCATGGTTGTCCTATGATTATTTTGAATAGAACCTTCCCACAACTTTCTGGGAATGTTGCCGGATCGTTGCTTGACTTTCGAACATTCTCAGCACATTTAAGGAACTTGACCAAAAACTGTTATTTTCTTGGTATTTTATTACTTTGACAGAACATTTCCTAAAAGTTCAAACATGGTAACATTTAGTTTCAATTTTGGTAATGTTCTAGGAACGTTCTCCAACTGGTTTGACATTGGGAATGTTCTAAAATAGCTCAGAGAATGTTAAGAAACATAATTCTTCTGTGGGAATTTCAGTACTTCAGCATAATGTTTACTACAGGTTTCCTCATGGTTCTTTTTAAATTCACGTTCTCAAATTGTTCCAAGAAAGTTAAGAAAACTTTCCATAGAAACCACAAGAAAACATCCAGAGAACGTTCTAAGAATGTTATTTAAAAATATACATTCTGTTCACAGAACTTTAAGAAAACTTTCCATAAAAACCACAAGAAAAGTTTAGCAATATTCAGAGAATGTTCTGAGAACGTTATTTAAAAACATATACATTCCGTTCTCAGCATTTCTCTGTCGTCTATCTTATTAAGTGTGTTCAGGTGTGTTGGCCGCTCCCACTAAGTGGCCACACCTGATCTTAATGAGTGCTTGTTTCCTTGGAAACGGGGTCTGTTTGAATAGACAAAAATTAGCAGCTTTGTATGTGTAACAAAACATGGCATGCTAGCTCCATCCTGGTGGTGCAGTGGACTAATTCCATGGATAATGACCAGAAGATTATAGGTTCAAAACGTACAAGTGTCGTGTCACAATAAGCATATGTTTGCATGATTAATACCTAAGGAAATTAATTTCCATGTGTCCTATCTATGCTTGGAGTTCAAACAAGATAACACAAAATAAGATAGCAGTGTTATTAAAATATTTAAGGAAGTTATTCAAAAACCTCCAAATAACATATAATTTATATTCTCAGAGCATTAATAAAATGGAAAACTTTTAAGGAACCAGAGTAAAAGGTTCTCAGAACCTCCCTGCAACCTAAAAATAAACATTCCCAGAACATGCAACATTTTCATTTCTGTTCTCAGAATGTTTAAAAAACTCTATTACTCCTATTATTCCCACAGAGCGTTATTTCTTAACGTTCTCTGAACTATTTGAGAACATTCCCAATGTCAAACCAGTTGGAGAACGTTCCTAGAACATTACCAACATTTTAATTAAATGTAACCATGTTTAAACTTTTAGGAAACATTCTGTTAAAGTAATAAAATATCAAGAAAATAAAAAAATTTCCTTAAATGTGATTAGAATGTTCCAAAGCCAAGCAACTATCCTGCACCATTCCCAGAAAGTTGTGGGAATGTTGTATGCAAATAAACTATAGGACAAACATGCTCTCAGCAAACACTAAGAAAAATATGGTTCTCAGAACGTTATGTGCTAGCTGGGGTGTGTGCGGACAACTGTCTCATGACCAGCAGCAGCTGACAGAGGAAGTTATCTCTGATTTCTAAACGTAAAAAATTGTACGGGACGGGAGTGATTTTTATCGGGTACGGGACAGGAATGTTCCAGGGTTATCGAACTATTGCGGGATCAGATCAGGACAGTACGGGGAAACATTTGACAGGACAAGTGGGGACAGGAATACATTTTCACTCCAGTGTCATCCTGTTTCCACTAGTTACCACAGCCACAACGTCAAAATTGGGTATATCGAAAAATGTATGAAAACAAAAATAAGCTTGTTGGTCTTAATTTAGGGTTAGCTATAAGGTTAGCCGTGTGGTTAGGTTTAAAAACACATTTTAAGACGATAAATGGGTGGGGTTTATGACTTTGTGGCTGTGGTATGAAAAAATGTATGCACTCAGTAACTGTAAGTCGCTCTGGATAAGAGCGTCTGCTAAATGACTAAAATGTAAATGTAAATGGTAACTAGTTACGACCGTGTCAACGTCACCTGCTTACACTGTGTAATGACAAGTGTTTGTTGTAGAAAATAAATAGGCATATGTTGACATTTTTGCTACAGAGGCAGTTGCGATGTTATGAATTTGTAGTTATGAATCATGAAAGTCGATTTTATGTTTTTTTGGGGGGGAGGCTGTCCTTTTTTTAGTTTGAGCAGCCCCACCCCCCAAAGGTCTGTGCACGGCCCTGCTTTCGCACGTGATGTAACGGATCCTCTCTATGTTCACACACACACCTTTACCTCAACTCAATGCTGGATAGAAAAAGACTAGTATGCCTACATATTAACGGTCCTTTAGTTCAGTCCCTCCCACTAATTATACGGTACTTGTCACAATAGCATTGCGTACATATCCATTGTCTGAACTAAACTTTCTCGTTGACTCACAACACCCATTCAAATTTCGGGTAGGAAACAATTGGACACGCACTCATGAAATCTTTCCGAGGCATTACACATGTCTCTGAGCTTTGTCATGTGAAAAGGAAACAGTATGAACAGTGGCCGAGACTAGTGCCGGGAGTTGGCTCCACTTTTTTGTTTCACAAGGCGGTCGGATTGGCATGAACAACCCGAAGCGCAGCACCCCAAAGTCGTCGCTACAGCGCCAGCGCAGCGGAGGAGCCATTGCGAAATAGAGAGGAAACACAGCTGGATTTGCTCTTCTTCAGTCGACTCCTTTTTAACTTTTGTCATGTGAGTAATTTGTTGTTATTTAGCCTATCATTGGGTGATGATAATTGTAGCCTAGATAATGTAGTTTATAATGTTTTTCCCACTGTAATCACCTCGTGGGTGTGCGGGGTTTCTCTTCTGAAATCCGCACACGGCGACAACGCTAAAGAGCTCATAGGTCTGTAATTGTTTTTATTGTTGGGAATTCTGATGTGTTTATGAAACAATCCTACCTGATTTGATTGAATATCACTTTACATGGCCTGGAGGGGCCCAATGTAAACGTCTAAATGGAGTATTGGAAAGTTGGATCAGGTGCTTGTGTCGTTCTTTGTTTCCCACGCGATAAACTGTCAATGGATGACACTGAACTGATACAATGTTGCAGTGTAGTGCAGCATCACTGTTCTACTGTATTCAATAATACAATATTTGGGTTGTTTTAAGTAGACTTTAAACCCCATAGCTATCGGCAATGACGAAGGTAAGACTACAGTTTTTTTACAGGCAACGATAGCTACAGATTGTACGCCAAGATTTTTGGTATCCATTACTGGGCATTACAGGATAGGTACTGTTTGGCGTAGCACAGTACATTTTCGACCAACTTTAACTTCGCGATAGTATAGTATCTATGTTCTCGATTCGGCCAAACATGTACACTATATATACAAAAGGATGTGGACACCCTTCAAATTAGTGGATTCAGCTATTTCAGCCACACCCGTTGCTGACAGGTGTATAAAATCGAGCACACAGCCATGCAATCTCCATAGACAAACATTGGCAGTAGAATGGCCCGTACTGAAGAGCTCATTGACTTTGAAAGTGGCACCACCGTAGGATGCCACCTTTCCAAAAAGTAAGTTAGTCAAATTTCTGCCCTGCTAGAGCTGCTCCGGTCAACTGTAAGTGCTGATATTGTGAAGTGGAAACGTCTACAACAACGGCTCAGCCACTCTCACAGAACGGAACCGCCGGGTGCTGAAGTGCTTAGCGCATAAAAATCATCTGTCCTCTGTTGCAACACTCACAACGGAGTTCCAAACTGCCTCTGGAAACAACGTCAACACAATAACTGTTCTTCTGGAAACGCATTCTCTGGAGTGATGAATCACGCTTCACCATTTGGCAGTCCGACGGACAAATATGGGTTTGGCGGATGCCAGGAGAATGCTACCTGCCCCAATGCATAGTGCCAACTGGAAAGTTTAGTGGAGGAGGAATAATGGTCTGGGGCTGTTTTTCATGGTTCGGGCTAGGCCCCTTAGTTCCAGTGAAGGGAAATCTTAACGCTACAGCATACAATGACATTCTAGACGAATCTGTGCTTCCAACTTTGTGGCTACAGTTTGGGGAAGGCCCTTTCCTGTTTCAGCATGACAATGCCCCCATGCACAAAGCGAGGTCCATACCAGAAATGGTTTGTCGAGATCAGTGTGGAAGAACTTGACTGGGCTGCACAGAGCCCTGACCTCAACCCCATCGAACATCTTTGGGTTGAATTGGAACGCCAGGCTTAAACGCCCAACATCAGTGCCCGACCTCACCAATGCTCTTGTGGCTGAATGGAAGCAAGTCCCCGTAGCAATGTTCCAATATCTAGTGGAAAAACCTTCCCAGAAGAGTTGAGGCTCTTATAACAGCAAAGGAGGGACCAACTCCATATTAATGTCCATGATTTTGGAATGAGATGTTTGACCATGTAGTGTATCACATTATCTGGTGTGCAATCTGTAGCTAAGGCAACAGTAGTCTTGGAGCTTGTTAGAGACAGGGCCTACTTTCTGTACATTATGAACACCAACTGTAAGCTAACTTCCCCTGCCCCCACCCTCTGTTGACAAAACATGTGATAAGTATGCAGCTCACAAATCCATAATTTCACTGTTTCACAACGTGGTCTGAACTCTGAACAAAAAAGATTGACTTGACTGCACGCCCAGACTGCTTTGTGTTTAACTCGTAGGCTATTGTATTAGACCTACCTAATACAGATATTTTGTTTATTTCCCAGAAACGTGTCTGAAACGTGGTTGCTTGCTGCTAAACTGCCAGTGGAATGCACCTGGATGATCTGACCCCAACACACCTGGTAAAAACAAGGACCAACGGACCAACGTTTTTCTGACATAATTAGGTCTACAATGCCATCTTGGTCAAGATGTCTACTCTGAAACAGGTTATAGTGCACGAGGATGGCCAGGACACTGAGAAAAGTTTGGACTGGAGTTACATTCAGTGGCTAGAGAATGAGAATGAGGCTGTGACGGGGGTGACCAATGTTGAGACGCAAACGGTCTCAAAACTCACCGAAGATAAGGAGACGCAGACCAGCAACCCCTTTATCATGCATATAGATTTGGCCAGAACGCACTCCAAACTGAAACACGAGACCGACGGCTTGCTCACCCAGTTTGACCGACAAGCCCTGGCTCGTATCTCCACGTCCCCTACCTTGAGGAGGATGAGGAGCACGCGACGTCCGCAGGTGGACTTCCGGGACCCGATGAGGATGAACAGCACACAAGAGGAGTCGGGTACGGAAGAGACACCATCCCTTTTGAGTCCCCTCTCCCCAATACACAGGCACAAGTCTCCGCTGGCGGCCTGCCCACCTCCCGATGGAGAGAACCACCACGATAATCAGCCCAATTCATCTGCAGACCTGGGGAAAAGCAGATCACATAGATCAAATACTTTTGACAATGGTATCACTTGCACGAGACAAGAATCTCTGTGCGCACGTAGTGTGCAAAGTGTTAGGAAAGACTTTGAATTTCCTGATAATAGCGATGATCAGGTGAGTTTAATGTTATAATCACCAAAATGATTCAGTTGCACATGAATTGCAGCCGTATGCCACACTGTGGCTTTATAATGAGTTTTTATCTGAGCCTTGTAAATCAGATGGCCAGTAGCTCCTCCACCACATTCCTCCTGGGTAGTAGCCCTCTCATTCTCCCTGGCCTCCTGTGGTGGCTGCTCACAATGCCAGCTTTTGACAGCAAATGAATCAGCAGTTACACTGACAGCTCAGCGTAGCCCCACCACCCAGCAAGCCTCAGTCTTTCACTCACACACACACACACACACACACACAGGCCTCCTATTCACCACCGTCAGCAATCATCCAATAATAGATAGAAGAAGATATTGGGTGGGGGGGGGATCTATTCATTGGGCTCCCAGCATTCAACCTGGGCCATTCTCAATAGAGCCCCGACATTCTCTGCAGATATTAGAGGGCTATTCTAATTCAAACGACCACATGAAAAACACTTGTTTGTAAGAGATATAGCCATGTTATGTAGGACCAGGAGGCCTGTGTAATGTTGATTTGTGTTATGTACACTGCATGAGTTTGTGCACCTTTCAAATCACACCCAAGGCTCTAAAATCATAATTGAACCCAAATGAATCTTAGTCCTGGACTAAAAAGCACGTTCAATGGAGATTCTCTGTTTTGAAAGTTCTTCTTAGTCCAAGACTATGGTTAATCTGTGTCCAAGAAACCGATCCCTAATGTTTAGATAGATGTACTGTACTATCGTTCACGGTCTGTGTTTGCTCTTTCACATTAGTATCTGCTGTATAACAAGCCATGTTCAACATATAATTATCCTAACCAATGCTCTTTCGTCTCTTTTTACAGGACAAGGAGGCTTGCCATAATAGGTAAGTGTGTTGCCTGCAACTCCACAGAGTGATTTGAATGTTACAGTGAGGGGAAAAAAGTATTTGATCCCCTGTTGATTTTGTACGTTTGCCCACTGACAAAGACATGATCAGTCTATAATTTTAATGGTAGGTTTATTTGAACAGTGAGAGACAGAATAACAACAAAAAAATCCAGAAAAATGCATGTCAAAAATGTTATAAATTGATTTGCATTTTAATGAGGAAAATAAGTATTTGACCCCTCTGCAAAACATGACTTAGTACTTGGTGGCATAACCCTTGTTGGCAATCACAGAGGTCAGACGTTTCTTGTAGTTGGCCACCAGGTTTGCACACATCTCAGGAGGGATTTTGTTCCACTCCTCTTTGCAGATCTTCTCCAAGTCATTAAGGTTTCGAGGCTGACATTTGGCAACTCAAACCTTCAGCTCCCTCCACAGATTTTCAATGGGATTAAGGTCTGGAGGCTGGCTTGAGCCACTCCTTTGTTTTGCCTTGGCCATTGTCATGCTGGAATACCCATCCACAACCCATTTTCAATGCCCTGGCTGAGGGAAGGAGGTTCTCACCCAAGATTTGACGGTACATGGCCCCGTCCATCGTTCCTTTGATGCGGTGAAGTTGTCCTGTCCCCTTAGCAGAAAAACACCCCCAAAGCATAATGTTTCCACCTCCATGTTTGACGGTGGGGATGGTGTTCTTGGGGTCATACGCAGCATTCCTCCTCCTCCAAACACGGCGAGTTGAGTTGAAGCCAAAGAGCTCGATTTTGGTCTCATCTGACCACAACACTTTCACCCAGTTCTCCTCTGAATCATTCAGATGTTCATTGGCAAACTTCAGACGGCCCTGTATATGTGCTTTCTTGAGCAGGGGGACCTTGCGGGCGCTGCAGGATTTCAGTCCTTCACGGCGTAGTGTGTTACCAATTGTTTTCTTGGTGACTATGGTCCCAGCTGCCTTGAGATCATTGACAAGATCCTCCCGTGTAGTTCTGGGCTGATTCCTCACCGTTCTCATGATCATTGCAACTCCACGAGGTGAGATCTTGCATGGAGCCTCAGGCCGAGGGAGATTGACAGTTATTTTGTGTTTCTTCCATTTGCAAATAATCGCACCAACTGTTGTCACCTTCTCACCAAGCTGCTTGGCGATGGTCTTGTAGCCCATTCCAGCCTTGTGTAGGTCTACAATCTTGTCCCTGACATCCTTGGAGAGCTCTTTGGTATTGGCCATGGTGGAGAGTTTGGAATCTGATTGATTGCTTCTGTGGACAGGTGTCTTTTATACAGGTAACAAACTGAGATTAGGAGCACTCCCTTTAAGAGTGTGCTCCTAATCTCAGCTCGTTACCTGTATAAAAGACACCTGGGAGACAGAAATCTTTCTGATTGAGAGGGGGGTCAAATACTTATTTCCCTCATTAAAATGCAAATCAATTAATAACATTTTTGACATGTGTTTTTCTGGATTTTTTTGTTGTTATTCTGTCTCTCACTGTTCAAATAAACCTACCATTAAAATTATAGACTGATCATTTCTTTGTCAGTGGGCAAACGTACAAAATCAGCAGGGGATCAAATACTTTTTTCTCTCACTGTATGTGTCCCCACTTGGCTTAGCCAAAAATTACCACAATGCCTGTACATTATTTCATGGCAGGAGGGGAATTTGCCTATAACCGATTAGCTCTGAACTACAGTTGAAGTCGGAAGTTTACATACACCTTAGCCAAATACATTTAAACTCAGTTTTTCACAATTCCTGACATTTAATCCTAGTAAAAATTCCCTGTCTTAGGTCAGTTAGGATCACCACTTTATTTTAAGAATGTGAAATGTCAGAATAATAGTAGAGTGATTTATTTCATCACATTCCCATTGGGTCAGAAGTTTACATACACTCAATTAGTATTTGGTAGCGTTGCCTTTAAATTGTTTAACTTGGGTCAAATGTGTCAGGTAGCCTTTCACAAGCTTCCCACAATAAGTTGGGTGAATTTTGGCCCATTCCTCCTGACAGAGCTGGTGTAACTGAGTCAGGTTTGCAGGCCTCCTTGCTCGCACACGCTTTTTCAGTTCTGCCCACACATTTTCTATAGGATTGAGGTCAGGGCTTTGTGATGGCCACTCCAATACCTTGACATTGTTGTCCTTAAGCCATTTTGCCACAACTTTGGAAGTATGCTTGGGGTCGTTGTCCATTTGGAAGACCCATTTGTGACCAAGCTTTAACTTCCTGACTGATGTCTTGAGATGTTGCTTCAATATATCCACATAATTTTCCTTCCTCATGATGCCATCTATTTTGTGAAGTGCACCAGGCCCTCCTGCAGCAAAGCACACCCACAGCATGATGCTGCCACCCCCGTGCTTCACGGTTGGGATGGTGTTCTTCGGCTTGCAAGCGTTCCCCTTTTTCCTCCAAACATAACGGATGGTCATTATGGCCAAACAGTTCTAATTTTGTTTCATCAGACCAGAGGACATTTCTCCAAAAAGTACGATCTTTGTCCCCATGTGCAGTTGCAAACCGTAGTCTGGCTTTTTTATGGCGGTTTTGGAGCAGTGGCTTCTTCCTTGCTGAGCGGCCTTTCAGGTTATGTCGATATAGGACTAGATTTGCTGTGGATATAGATACTTTTGTACCTGTGTCCTCCAGCATCTTCACAAGGTCCTTTGCTGTTCTGGATTGATTTGCACTTTTCGCACCAAAGTACGTTCATCTCTAGGAGACAGAACGCGTCTCCTTCCTGAGCGGTATGACGGCTGCGTGTTCCCATGGTGTTTATACTTGTTGAGGTCTACACATTTTTTTCTGAGATCTTGGCTGATTTCTTTTGATTTTCCTATGATGTCAAGCAAAGAGGCACTGAGTTTGAAGGTAGGCCTTGAAATACATCCACAGGTACACCTCCAATTGACTCAAATGATGTCAATTAGCCTTATCAGAAGCTTCTAAAGCCATGACATTATTTTCTGGAATTTTCCAAGCTGTTTAAAGGCACAGTCAACTTAGTGTATGTAAACTTCTGAACCACTGGAATTGTGATACAGTGAATTATAAGTGAAATAATCTGTCTGTAAACAATTGTTGGAAAAATTATTTGTGTCATGCACAAAGTAGATATCCTAACCAACTTGTGGAGTGGTTGAAAAACGAGTTTTAATTACATTTAACATTTTACATTTTAGTCATTTAGCAGACGCTCTTATCCAGAGCGACTTACAAATTGGTGCATTCACCCTATAGCCAGTGGGAAAACCACTTTACACTTTTTTTTTTGGGGGGGGGGGGGTAGAAGGATTACTTTATCCTATCCCAGGTATTCCTTAAAGAGGTGGGGTTTCAAATGTCTCCGGAAGGTGGTGAGTGACTCCGCTGTCCTGGCGTCGTGAGGGAGCTTGTTCCACCATTGGGGTGCCAGAGCAGCGAACAGTTTTGACTGGGCTGAGCGGGAACTATGCTTCCGCAGAGGAAGGGGAGCCAGCAGGCCAGAGGTGGATGAACGCAATGCCCTCGTTTGGGTGTAGGGACTGATCAGAGCCCGGAGGTGCCGTTCCCCTCACTGCTCCATAGGCAAGCACCATGGTCTTGTAACGGATGCGAGCTTCAACTGGAAGCCAGTGGAGTGTGCGGAGGAGGGGGGGTGACGTGAGAGAACTTGGGAAGGTTGAACACCAGACGGGCTGCGGCATTCTGGATGAGTTGTAGGGGTTTAATGGCACAGGCAGGGAGGCCAGCCAACAGCGAGTTGCAGTAATCCAGACGGGAGATGACAAGTGCCTGGATTAGGACCTGTGCCGCTTCCTGTGTAAGGCAGGGTCGTACTCGCCGAATGTTGTAGAGCATGAACCTGCAGGATCGGGTCACCGCCTTGATGTTAGCGGAGAACGACAGGGTGTTGTCCAGGGTCACGCCAAGGCTCTTCGCACTCTGGGAGGAGGACACAACGGAGTTGTCAACCGTGATGGCGAGATCATGGAACGGGCAGTCCTTCCCCGGGAGGAAGAGCAGCTCCGTCTTGCCAGGGTTCAGCTTGAGGTGGTGATCCGTCATCCATACTGATATGTCTGCCAGACATGCAGAGATGCGATTCGCCACCTGGTTATCAGAAGGGGGAAAGGAGAAGATTAGTTGTGTATCGTCAGCGTAGAAATGATAGGAGAGGCCATGTGAGGATATGACAGAGCCAAGTGACTTGGTGTATAGGGAGAATAGGAGAGGGCCTAGAACTGAGCCCTGGGGGACACCAGTGGTGAGAGCACGTGGTGCGGAGACAGCTTCTCGCCACGCCACTTGGTAGGAGCGACCGGTCAGGTAGGACGCAATCCAGGAGTGAGCCGCGCCGGAGATGCCCAGCTCGGAGAGGGTGGAGAGGAGGATCTGATGGTTCACAGTATCAAAGGCAGCAGACAGGTCTAGAAGGACAAGAGCAGAGGAGAGAGAGTTAGCTTTAGCAGTGCGGAGAGCCTCCGTGACACAGAGAAGAGCAGTCTCAGTTGAATGACCAGTCCTGAAACCTGACTGGTTTGGATCAAGAAGGTCATTCTGAGAGAGATAGCAAGAGAGTTGGCTAAAGACGGCACGCTCAATAGTTTTGGAAAGAAAAGAAAGAAGGGATACTGGTCTGTAGTTGTTGACATCAGTGGGATCGAGTGTTGGTTTTTTGAGAAGGGGTGCAACTCTCGCTCTCTTGAAGACGGAAGGGACATGGCCAGCGGTCAAGGATGAGTTGATCAGCGAGGTGAGGTAGGGGAGAAGGTCACCGGAGATGGTCTGGAGAAGAGAGGAGGGGATGGGGTCAAGCGGGCAGGTTGTTGGGCGGCCTGCAGTCACAAGTCGCAGGATTTTATCTGGAGAGAGAGGGGAGAAAGAAGTCAAAGCATAGGGTAGGGCAGTGTGAGTAGGACCAGCAGTGTCATTAGACTTAACAAATGAGGATCGGATGTCGTCAACCTTCTTTTCAAAGTGGTTGACGAAGTCATCCACAGAGAGAGGGGGGGGGGGATTCAGCAGGGAGGAAAATGTGGCAAAGAGCTTCCTAGGGTTAGAGGCAGATGCTTGGAATTTAGAGTGGTAGAAAGTGGCCTTAGCAGCAGAAACAGATGAAGAAAATGTAGAGAGGAGGGAGTGAAAAGATGCCAGGTCGGCAGGGAGTTTAGTTTTCTTCCATTTCCGCTCCGCTGCCCGGAGCTCTGTTCTGTGAGCTCGCAATGAGTCATCAAGCCACGGAGCTGGAGGGGAGGACCGAGCCGGCCGGGAGGATAGGGGACACAGAGAGTCAAAGGATGCAGAAAGGGAGGAGAGGAGGGTTGAGGAGGCAGAATCAGGAGATTGGAGGGAGAAGGATTGAGCAGAGGGAAGAGATGATAGGATGGAAGAGGAGAGAGTAGTGGGAGAGAGAGAGCGAAGGTTGCGGCGGCGCATTACCATCTGTGTAGGGGCAGAGTGAGTAGTGTTGGAGGAGAGCGAGAGAGAAAAGGAAACAAAGTAGTGGTCGGAGACATGGAGGGGAGTTGCAGTGAGATTAGTAGAAGAGCAGCATCTAGTAAAGATGAGGTCAAGCGTATTGCCTGCCTTGTGAGTAGGGGGGGGACGGTGAGAGGGTGAGGTCAAAAGAGGAGAGGAGTGGAAAGAAGGAGGCAGAGAGAAATGAGTCAAATGTGGACGTAGGGAGGTTGAAATCCCCCAAAACTGTGAGGGGTGAGCCATCCTCAGGAAAGGAACTGAGTGTATGTGTATGTAAACTTCCGACTTCAACTGTATGTCACAGAGTTACGAAACCAGGATCGTATTCATTAGGCACCAAACTGAAAAAAACCGGACTGTTTTCCGTTGCAAAATGTTTTGCTACGGTGTGCCCTAATGAATATGACCTAGCATGAATGGGATAAATACATTCAACCACTGAAAACCCTCCTATTTGCTGGCCAACAGATTTTCTTGTGGAGTTTTCATTCAATAGGGGTTTTACTACATTTATCTTAAGCCATCCCTTTAAACCTTTAATTGGAATTTTGTCAACAGACACAAAGCAAATAAAATTGTATTTGTCACATGCTTTGTAAACAACAGGTGTAGACTAACAGTGAAATCCTTACTTACGGGCCGTTCCCAACAATGCAGAGAAAAAAATATAGAAATAATAGAAAAATAATAACACAAGGAATAAATACACAATGAGTAACGATAACTTGTCTATATACACAGGGTACTGAGTCGATGTGCAGGGGTATGAGGTAATTGAGGTAGATATGTGTATATATACTGTACGTAGGGAAAGTGACTAGGCTACAGGATAGATGATAAACAGTAGCATCAGCGTATGTGAAGAGTTAGTGCATAAAGGGTCAATCCAGATAGTCCGGGTAGCTATTGGTTAACTATTTAAGTAACTATTTAGCAGTCTAATGGCTTTGGGGTAGAAGCAGTTTGGGTCCTGTTGGTTCCAGACCTGGTCACTAGAATACATTGAGAGAACGGGTTCACAATATTAGGGATCAATGAATGAAAGCCATCTAAATAAATGCATATTTGTCTCAGTTTCAACACCAACTGGTAGATACTCTGATTTTTTTAGATTATTTAGACAAAGTTTAGGGTTAGGAAAGTATCTATGAATCATAAACAACTGGTTTGGAGAGCCTTTATGCACAAAAATGCAGTGGTTCGACTAATCCATATTCAAGTTCAATCCATTAAATATTGGAAGGTGAAAAAAGTGTACAGTAGTGGTTGAACAATAGGCTAGTCCAATAACTCTTCCATAATCCTCACTAATCATGGAACTGTAATGACAACGGTCCAGTCGTCGTGAACTCTGCTCCAGGTTTAAACTGCTACGTGTGGTCTGAATTCTATAATGATTCAAATACGCTACGTTATTGTACAACGTTAGCCTAATATGATCCACTATTGCTAGCGACCCTCAGGAACAACTACACAGACATGAGAAAGAAGGGTAAACTAAATGGAATTATGTAAAATGCAGGCTACATATTAAAGGAAATGAACACTGAAGTGACAGTTATATATATGTGGGTATTACTGACGGTGGCTCCCGATAGTGGCTAATATTTAACATGATACAAATTGTTAAATAAAACTGAGGTAAGCCTGGGCATAATAATTAAAACATTCTAAAGCGCATAAATCAACTCTATGTTCGGCGCTACAGAAGCCTATAGTTTGGGTCTCCAAATTCCATCCCCGCAAATTATGAGGGCATACAATTAAAATGTTGAATAACGGCACAGCTATTTATAGCCTACTTTACTGTGGAAAAGGGGCCGCAACACATGTCAAGTTATGATTTTCTGTTTGCTTCCAAATGACTGTTCTTATCATATCAATTTATAAATTACAGTGCATTGAGAATGCTGTTATTTCTATTGGAAAAAAGAAAGTAGATGCTTTTTCCACTTGGAACTGGCAGGTTCGCTCAACCTTATTCAACTGTTTCCCTGTGCGTAAAGGTGGTGGAATTCTTAGGGAATTAAGTGAAGGTCAGAATACGGTGTAGACACACCTCTGCCACGCCTCTTTCTTTGATCTCCACCCCAAATGTGTAACTTGGTGGCACTGGCAATTTCCCCCTGCTTAAGTTCAAGGTCAGAATACGCGTAGAGAGAAAAGTAGATAAAAAGTGAAAAAAGTACAATTTACTTGGGCGTAACTGTGGTCTGAATTTCCTCCTAATCGCTGCCAAATATGAGTCTAACATGTATTGGCTCATGGGGTTCAATACTTATCTAATCAAGATATATTCGTTTTTCATTTGCCATGAATAATTTTATTATTGTATGATTTATTTTGTCTAGAACTTTTAGAAGAAAAAAAAGACAATTAAATACTTTCTACCATAGCAAACTACATAACTAATGCATAAGATGTCAACAACACATCAATTCCTTAAAGGTGCGATGCAGTTAAAAACAAGATTTTCCTGTTAAAAAAAAGAAGATATTTCCATCAAAAAAAGTTTTAAAAACACTTTGAAATTGTGAAAATGATGATGCCCTTTTTGTGTAAGAGGTGTAAAAAAAGAAAGAAAAAAAGCTGGAATTTCATGATGTCACAATATGACCAATGACTGTTCATCTGGGTATGGGGGTGGGTGCTAGACCATCCTATCAGCCAATCAGAGCTGTGTATGTCAATATAGTCATATTTGTTTCCTAACGCCTACATGATCAGACTGAGCATTTCACGGGCCAAAGGAGGCTCAGGGAAATAAATGATAAAAAATGTATTTTTAAGTTATTTTCATAAACACACACAATGATTTATTAGACATACAGTGATGATTTAAAAATACAATTACAAAGACTGCATGGGGGCTTTAATTGGCAGTCTTTAATTCATTAATTCTGCTTGATTTGAATTGATCATTTGGGTATTTACCTTCTGTGTTTACCTTCAGTTTACCCTTAACAACAACACGCGAGAGCTAGGATGACCTGTTAGACACTACTTGATGTAACCAAGCTGGTTAGGACAATGAGGTCCACCACTTGCTCATTTGACCCTATCCCCACTTCACTTGTCAAGACCTGCTTACCTGCTCTGGAGCCTTTCTTCACAGAAATTAACAAGTCCCTCATCACTGGTTGTGTCCCTCCTCAGCTCAAACTGTCTGCAGTCACACCAGTACTTAAAAAGCCTGGATCTGACCATGACAACCGCCAGAACTACAGGCCTATTTTCAACCTGTCCTTCCTGAGGAAGGTCCTCGAACATGCTGTTTCTAGCCAACTCCAAAACCTTCTGGCCAATCACAACCTACTTGAGCCCTTCCAGTCGGGTTACAGAGCTAGACACAGTACCGAGACTGCCCTGGTAAGGGTAACCAATGACCTCCTCATGAATGCTGACTGGGGCTGCCAGCATCCTCATACTGCTGTACCTCAGTGCAGCATTCGGCACGGTCAGCCGTGCCATCCTGCTGGACCGCATGGAGAAGCTCCTGGGCCTGTCAGACACTGTCCTGGACTGGCCATCGGTCCTAGTAGGTCAGACACAGTTGTGGTCCGACAGGGGGTCCCTCAAGGCTCAGTCCTGGGGCCACTATTGATTTGTATCTACATGCTGGCACTGGGAAACATCTTGAGGAAACAAGGACTGGGCTTTCACTTTCATGCTGATGACACTCAGCTGTATGTCTCCACAAACACTGACACTGCCAGTGCCACTGCACACCTGTGCACTTCTGGTCAGCTGCCTACAGGACATCAAAGCGTGGATGCAGTTGAGTTTACTGCAGTTAAACTGCAAAAAGACAGAGGTCGTCCTGATTGACACGTGCACCATCATAAAACAACATCAGCAGCTACAGCCTCAATATTGATGATGTCAAGGTCCTCCCCTCCAGTGAGGTTCACAACCTGGGTGTGATATTTGACAGTCAGCTCTCATTTGAGGCCCACATCAAAATTGTGACCAGTCTCATTTTTCAATCTACGGAACATTGCCAGGTTACGACCTATGCTATCACACCCTGCAGCTGAGCGACTCATCCACTCCTTTATTTCATCCCGTTTGGACTATCGTAATGCCCTTTTTGTTGGCACATCTGCCAAGTGCCTAAAACAGGCTACAATATGTCCATAACTGTGCTGCACGTGTCCTCACCCACACCTCCCCCTGCGAGCACATCACTCCAGTGCTGTTAACCTCCACTGGCTTCCCATATGCTCACGCATAGACTACAAAATCCTGGTTCACACCTACCAAGCTATCCACAACTCTGGACCCAAGTACCGGTCTGACCTCCATTCTACCCTCCTGCCCCACACGCACCCTTCGCTCCTCCAGATCCGTCTCCCTTCAGCAGCCCCGCAGCAGACTAAAATCTATGGATGCCAGGACTTTCAGTTGCATGGCTCCGCTGCCGTGGAACGCACTTCTAGACACTATTACGGCCGCAGAGTCTCTGTCCTCCTTTAAGGCACAGCTCAAGACTGTGCTGTTCAGAAAAGCTTTCAAGGACATCTGCTAATTCTGTTCCCATGTCCTCCGGATCTGGCGACACCTGTATATAGTTTTGTTTGTGTTTTATATTCTGGATTGTTTATTATAATTTTTGAGCACCTTGGGGGTAACAACAGTTCTTTACATATTAAACGTATTATTATTTCTATCCACCCATATTATGGAGGCAAATCCTGCCACTGTTCCATACAGTAGACTCTAGTTCTCATGCTTTTATGTTAATATTTATCACAAACCCTCATTCGCTTGCTTGTTCACAGTGCAGTGAGTACACATGGTATTTCAATAATGTAGAAATGCCAAAAGGAATTCAGTTGTTTCCGGTTAAACAGTCTTCTTGGCAGTCTGTTGACCCCATTATGTTGATTAATGTACCTCCATTTATTACACCATTACTCATTGTCATTATTACAACGGTATTATGCTGTACCTCACTGACATGCTCTATTCCTCACGTTGTATTACACCTCACTTATTATGCCATTACTCACTGTTATACCTTTTTATATGATGATATACCTAATTTTGACATACTGTATACCTCACACCTAAAATACTGTTAGTCACACTAGTTAGAAAGTCCTTGGTTACTATTGGGCCTTATTGGTCAGTTTTGTATAGAAACTGTCCTTTATTGGTCAGAATGTTCTACAAACTTTCTCCCTCTTCATACCCTGATCTCTTCCTGTTCCCCCAGACTGCAGGAGAGGAGGCGGAGTTCTGTGGTGGTCAGTCTGCCCGGATTGGATGTTTCGCCGGGGGACCTGTTTGTGTCCAATGGGGCGGCAGACATACTCAACTTCTCAGGTTAACGCCAAAGCTGCTTTTCTTCACTTTATTGATACATTTTTGTCAACAGCTTGTTTTTGATTACTTTTAAGACCAGATTTTAGGCCTACAGTGTTATTTGTTATAGATATTATTTTACAGTTACCTACATAGAGATCCTATTAAATTACTATTTAATATTAGGAATTAGTTAAGAAATAGTATTCTAATTATATGGTTACCTAGCTATGATGTTAGTACCTGCATCAGAAGTTCACTTACACAAATATATAAGCAACATTCCTTAACTATTTTCAGATTATTGCCACATTCAGGCAAAATGATAAGGCTGTTTGCACTTAAAGCGTCATTTCCTGTAAAATCCTATCTAATTTACATTTTCTCAACAGCAGACCTATGAAGCTAGGCCTTTGTAGATAATGACAATACTGTGTTCTCCGTTTCCACAGACACCAAAAAACCCAAGTGGCCTTTCTCCATACGTGGCACGGTATGTGTGCTGTCTGTTTGTTGTTTTCCACCTGCTACACGCCCTAGCTAGCCTGCCCTGCCACCAGTCAGTCTAGTTGTTTGTGGTTTGTTTGCTAGTGCGTTGAAGCTGCCAGTGTGCTCAGGCAAGCTGCAATGGAATTAAGGATATTGTTCTCTGACCCACTTTTAATCAAAGCATATTAATGAATACACTTTCTTCCCCTCTGTTCTCATGGCCTCCTGAGATTTCATAATGTGTCAACACACTGAGCCAAACCAATTCAATCCAAATCAATTCATATTAAAGGTGTTTGACCAGACTGATAGATAGATGGGCAAATATATGAACAAAACACTATTTGTGTGTACTGTAGTTCACTGTTCCACTGTTCACTTCCATAAGTGCATGACCGTGCACACAAGCGGGCACACACACACACACGCTCGTACTCATACACATACGCTCGTACTCATACACACACAGATACATACACACATTCACTCTTACTATACACACACACACATTCCCACTTAGACAAACAGACACTCATATCTATAGTAAAAAGAAAACGGATTGATTGTTCAAGTAATGTTTGACCTGTATTTGTTCCTCTCAGACTAAAGGGAAAACAACACGCACTTCATCTGATATTGAGAAATGTCTATTGAAGGAACGGATTCAAGACTGGAGGGACACAGACTTCCAGAAGTACAAGGTGAGGAAAGGCATATGAACACCAGAGCTGAAGAAGCCCTTTTCCCTCCTAGCTGTGTAATGTCTAATTGTTACATGTCTGCATTTGTAACTTGGGACCCAGTCATAATTGAGTCAGTGCTCCTAAGAATTACTATAGGAACAAGGAAGCCCATGAAACCTATAAATGACACATTGGACGGGAACAAGACTTTATTGTTGGCCTACGCACATGACAACCATACATTTATAAACTTTATCTAGACAGCAGACGATAATAGAGTTACAGCATTGAGGATAGTAACAAGACAGGTTACAGAATGCTGTCGCCTTGTACTTATGACCGCACCGGCACAGCCGTGTTAAAACCACAATGAATCAGCCCCCCCGTGTATTATGGTTTTAGTATTATTCAAATAACATATATCCAACCATCCATCTGTCTTATCATTCCCTCCATCCCCAGGACTGTTCTCTAGAGGAGTTCCTGAGGAACTGTGATTCGTCTCAGCTGATGTCTGACTGTGACCCTCAGGACTACAAGAGACAGGAAGCCATCTGGGAACTCTTCACCAGCGAGTGTGTTTACTTCCTGGATCAGCTCATGGTGCTCAAAGAGGTGACTTACTAGATATACGCCGCCACACACACACACACACACACACACACACACATACTTTTGAACAGGAATGGCGCCTCACCACTGCAACCAAACACCTTTGCTTTGTGTGGCTTTGTTGGGGAACTCTTTCTTCAGCTTTAGATGAAATGTTACCTCATCTCTACTATGAAATCGAATACAGCACAAACAGATCCAACCCCTCCCTTTTGTTTGTGTTTCTTTGTGTAATATCTAATATATTTCTAATGTGTTTGTGTTTTTAATGTGTTTAATTAAAAATAAATATATATATTGTGTCCTTCAGGTGTTTCTGGCCACGCTGACCAACTTGCAGATGAAGGACTGCCTGCCTGACGTGGACTCTTGGAGGCTGTTTGCCAACCTCAACGAGCTGTGTCTGGTGAGACCATAGAGCTACATACTGTATATTACATTAGGTTGGATTAGTAGGGCTGTGACGGTCATGGAATTTTGGATGGCGGTAACTGGCCAGCCGAATGACTGCAGCTCCTTAATAACCGTTTGAATACTTCTTATTTTCCTCTCCTGACTGCATGTGCTGATATAGAAATAGAATGAATAGAACGGGCCTCCCCATTCAAGTCAATGATGGCGTAATGGGACTGGCAGCCATTGCGAGTGTACCCATTGGAGCGATGCAGGAAATAAAAGCAGGAAGTGTAACCATCAATTTGTGCTATGATTTGTTGACATAAAAAATATACATTCCATTGCATGAGCCACATCAGTTTACATCATTTGAATGAACATTCTACATTACCATGGACATTTTTGCATCACAATACCAGGCAGACATTGCGAGTGTACCCATGTAATGAGTTTACCAGTCAAATTGCCAGGGTTAGAGCTTCCAAGCCGTTCTATTCATTCTATTTCTATGTGTGCTGCTGCTGCACTGTGGGGGGCGTTGCCTAGGCAACCGAAGACTTGTTTGCTACAACACCTTGCTTGTTTTAGCAAGGAGCAACAAACTTTCTTCACGTTGTTGAGTCCATTACCGCAGAAACCATTACATCTTCAGTCATCTGTTCATTCCTAAAGTATGATCTTTTTTAACCCCCTAGAGTCGATTGACACAACAGTGCGTCAATCTAAGTAACATGATAAAAAAATCCCCATCAAAATCCATCGGTTTTAAGCTAGAGATATCTGTGTTGAAAGGTGGCAGAGATAGAGTGGTGTTTGTCAGACCATGAGACATCCCGAAAATCGGTCTTCTCACGAAAACGTATGTAGCGTCCGAATGGTTTGACCTTCAAACTACTATGACCACTCTATGTAAAGAGGAGACTCACGATGGTGGTTTCCGTTTTGCTCTACGACCCCCCACAAGTGTCACGGGACTTGTCTGAAGGTGTGTGTGTATACATACATACATACAGTACCAGTCAAAAGTTTGGACACCTACTCAAGGGTTTTTCTTTATTTTTACTATTTTCTACATTGTAGAATAATAGCGAAGACATCAAAACTATAAAATAACACATATGGAATTATGTAGTAACCAAAAAAGTGTTAAACAAATCAAAATATATTTAAAATTCTTCAAAGTAGCCACCCTTTGCCTTGATGACAGCTTTGCACACTCTTGGCATTCTCTCAACCAGCTTCACCTTGAATGCTTTTTCAACAGTCTTGAAGGAGTTCCCACATATGCCGAGCACTTGTTGGCTGCTTTTCCTTCACTCTGCGGTCCGACTCATCCCAAACCATCTCAATTGGGTTGATGTCGGGGGATTGTGGTGTCCAGGTCATCTGATGCAGCACTCCATCACTCTCCTTCTTGGTAAATTAGCCCTTGCAGAGCCTGGAGTGTTGGGTCATTGTCCTGTTGAAAAACAAATGATAGTCCCACTAAGCCCAAACCAGATGGGATGGCGTATCGCTGCAGAATGCTGTGGTAGCCATGCTGGTTAAGTGTGCCTTGAATTCTAAATAAATCACAGACAGTGTCACCAGCAAAGCACCCCCACACCATAACACCACCTCCTCCATGCTTTACGGTGAGAAATACACATGCGGAGATCATCCATTCACCCACACCGCTTCTCACAAAGACACGGCGGTTGGAACCAGAAATCTCCAATTTGGACTCAAGACCAAATTACAGATTTCCACCGGTCTAATGTCCATTGCTCGTGTTTCTTGGTCCAAGTAAGTCTGTTATTCTTATTGGTGTCCTTTAGTAGTGGTTTCTTTGCAGAAATTCGACCATGAAGGCCTGATTCACACAGTCTCTTCTGAACAGTTGATGTTGAGATTTGTCTGTTACTTGAACTGTGAAGCATTTATTTGGGCTGCAATTTCTGAGGCTGGTAACTCTAATGAACTTCTCCTCTGCAGCAGAGGTAACTCTGGGTCTTCCATTCCTGTGGCGGTCCTCATGAGAGCCAGTTTCATCATAGCGCTTGATGGTTTTTGCAACTGTACTTGAAGAAACGTTCAAAGTTATTAAATGTTCCGTATTGACTGACCTTCATGTCTTAAAGTAATGATGGACTGTCATTTCTCTTTGCCTATTTGAGCTGTTCTTGCATAATATGGACTGTTACCAAATAGGGCTATCTTCTGTATATCCCCCTACCTTGTCACAACACAACTGATTGGCTCAAACACATTAAAAGGAAATAAATTCCACAAATTAACTTTTAAGAAGGCACACCTGTTAATTGAAATGCATTCCAGGTGACTACCTCATGAAGCTGGTTGAGAGAATGCCAAGAGTGTGCAAAGCTGTCATCAAGGCAAAGGGTGGCTATTTGAAGATTCTCAATTACAAAATATATTTTGAATTGTTTAACACTTTTTTGGTTGCTACATGATTCCATATGTGTTATTTTATAGTTTTGATGTCTTCACTATTATTCTACAATGTAAAAAGAAAGAAAAACCCTTGAATGAGGAGGTGTGTCCAAACTTTTGACTGGTACTATATATATATATATATATATATATATATATATATATATATATATATATATATATATATATATATATATATTACACACACAGTGGGGAGAACAAGTATTTGATACACTGCCGATTTTGCAGGTTTTCCTACTTACAAAGCATGTAGAGGTCTGTAATTTTTATCATAGGTACACTTCAACTGTGAGAGACGGAATCTAAAACAAAAATCCAGAAAATCACATTGTATGATTTTTAAGTAATTAATTTGCATTTTATTGCATGACATAAGTATTTGATACATCAGAAAAGCAGAACTTAATATTTGGTACAGAAACCTTTGTTTGCAATTACAGAGATCATACGTTTCCTGTAGGTCTTGACCAAGTTTGCACACACTGCAGCAGGAATTTTGGCCCACTCCTCCATACAGACCTTCTCCAGATCCTTTAGGTTTCGGGGCTGTCGCTGGGCAATACGGACTTTCAGCTCCCTCAAGATTTTCTATTGGGTTCAGGTCTGGAGACTGGCTAGGCCACTCCAGGACCTTGAGATGATTCTTACGGAGCCACTCCTTAGTTGCCCTGGCTGTGTGTTTCGGGTCGTTGTCATGCTGGAAGACCCAGCCACGACCCATCTTCAATGCTCTTACTGAGGGAAGGAGGTTGTTGGCCCATCCATCCTCCGCTCAATACGGTGCAGTCGTCCTGTCCCCTTTGCAGAAAAGCATCCCCAAAGAATGATGTTTCCACCTCCATGCTTCACGGTTGGGATGGTGTTCTTGGGGTTGTACTCATCCTTCTTCTTCCTCCAAACACGGCGAGTGGAGTTTAGACCAAAAAGCTCTATTTTTGTCTCATCAGACTACATGACCTTCTCCCATTCCTCCTCTGGATCATCCAGATGGTCATTGGCAAACTTCAGACGGGCCTGGACATGCGCTGGCTTGAGCAGGGGGACCTTGCGTGCGCTGCAGGATTTTAATCCATGACGGCGTAGTGTGTTACTAATGGTTTTCTTTGAGACTGTGGTCCCAGCTCTCTTCAGGTCATTGACCAGGTCCTGCCGTGTAGTTCTGGGCTGATCCCTCACCTTCCTCATGATCATTGATGCCCCACGAGGTGAGATCTTGCATGGAGCCCCTGACCGAGTCGATTGACCGTCATCTTGAACTTCTTCAATTTTCTAAAAATTGCGCCAACAGTTGTTGCCTTCTCACCAAGCTGCTTGCCTATTGTCCTGTAGCCCATCCCAGCCTTGTGCAGGTCTACAATTTTATCCCTGATGTCCTTACACAGCTCTCTGGTCTTGGCCATTGTGGAGAGGTTGGAGTCTGTTTGATTGAGTGTGTGGACAGGTGTCTTTTATACAGGTAACGAGTTCAAACAGGTGCAGTTAATACAGGTAATGAGTGGAGAACAGGAGGGCTTCTTAAAGAAAAACTAACAGGTCTGTGAGAGCTGGAATTCTTACTGGTTGGTAGGTGATCAAATACTTATGTCATGCAATAAAATGCAAATTCATTACTTAAAAATCATACAATGTGATTTTCTGGATTTTTGTTTTAGATTCAGTCTCTCACAGTTGAAGTGTACCTATGATAAAAAATGACAGACCTCTACATGCTTTGTAAGTAGGAAAACCTGCAAAATCGGCAGTGTATCAAATACTTGTTCTCCCCACTGTGTATGTGTGTGTGTGTGTATATATATATATATATATATATATACTTTTTTTTTAAAGCTTTCTTATATTTACGTTTTACATTTTAGTTATATCTCCTAGATATAGGACAGACACTTCAAAACCTTGTTCTTTGAATGTCTTTTTTGCCATTTATGAATGTGTTATTCAATGCGTTTCTCTGGGCTATAGTAGTAAAAGCCAAATTCATTTTTTTTCAAAAAAAATTTGATACCTAAAAGGGTCCTAAAATTATAAATCAAATTGCTAAATGATCCATTATGACCATTTTAAAACAATTCCAAATGTCAGCTTAGAACCGATCTCTATTATACTCTATTATATGACTACACAGCAATAGTCTATGGCATGACATCTTCATGTAGACTTTGTCTATCTATGATATTACATTTTCTTGTGGACTCTGTAATGTGATGTGTTGTTCCCCAGGTGAGCTTTGGCTTCCTCACCAGCCTGCTGCATGTCATCAAGGAGTCCTGGAAGATTCCAGTAGCAGGGGGCGGGCCCACCCCCACCCTGCAGGAGCTCCTCCTCAAGGTATGGACACACACACAAACACACACACGTTCAAATACTTGAATGCACAAGCACACGTGTTTACACACACAGAGAATATTCTATTCTACTGTAATTTACTTTACATTTGTATTCTTAGATTGTATTATTTTGTTGCGTTGTCGAGAAGGAACCTACACGTAAGCATTTCGTTGGACGGTGTATGCCATGTGTATCCTGTACATACGACTAATACAACTTGAAACAGGCGCGCACACACACACTCATTATAAACCAGAGAACAAGTATAAAATCATAAGTATCAATATAATTAGTCATGTGTTGTTTTAAAAAGTGACCTACTCAAATATGGTATACTAGACGTAAATCTCTATCACCCTCCATGAAATTATCTATGAATAAGTAGCACAGTTTTTCCTGTGGCCCAGCAGCTTTTTTTCTTTTCCAAATGATATACTGTCTATACACACCACATATTTATATTCTGGATTCCTACACTCTACTTTGGATTGTTATTTCTTGATGAGAATTGTAGCATTATTTATGTATTTTAATTGTATTAAACATTCTACTGCACTGTTGGAGCTAGTAACATAAGCATTTCGCTGCACTTGCTATAATAGTGGTTCCCAACCAGGGGTACATTTTTTACATTTGATTCATTTAGCCGACGCTCTTATCCAGAGCGACTTACAGTTAGTGCATTCATCTTACTAGGACCCCTGGGGGTACTTGGCCTATCCATAGGGGGTACTTGAGAAGACCCATGAGACCATAGGCTTACTGGTAAAATGCACATGAGGGGGTACTCCAGGGGTACTCCTGGCAGAGCAAAATTCAGTTGGTGGTACAGTAACCCAAAAAGGTTGGGAACCACTGTGCTATTACACCGGCAAATCTGTGTACACGACCAATAAACTTTGATGAGATTTTTCTGTTTCTCTATGAGCTTACTGCTTAGCTAACCATTTACATATATCTCTCTCTATCTGTTGGCAGGCGATCCGGGAGAGCATATGCCACTGTCTGCAGAAATACTGCCTCAACTATTCCACTGCACTCTTTTATCTGGACAGCCTGAAGCACAGAGAGGACTTTGGCTCCTACGTGAAGGTACACTGTACTGCAGGCCGGAGCCGCCGAGCGCTGCTTATTTGGAACTATAAATCAGGGTTGGTTGGGGCAAGGTTGCGCTGTACCTTGTCCCTAACAACCACACACAATAATGCAGTAAGGTAGGATAGAACCGGGTCAAGTGTGAGCGAACAGAGTCACTGGGGCTCGCTGACAATTGGAATGTGACAATTAGTCTCCTGCGATTGTGACTCTTTCTTTTTTGCAACCCTGCTGTTTTTTTGCTCTCAGCTGAGATCATTTTTCTTCCTCACAACTTCCCTTTCCCTCCTACCCTACCCCATCCCTCAGTTCTCCCTAATACGTGCTCTCTTTCACTCTTACTTCCTGACCTGTCTCTTCTCTTTCTCTTATTTTCTCCCACACTCTTACTCAATTGCTTTCTCTCTCAATATCAGATTTTGTCACAGACTTACTTATCAACCTACTTATAGTACTTAATTTGGCTTTAACTCTCTCTCCCCTCTATGCTCTCTCTCTCTCTCCCCTTTACGCTCTCTCTCTCTCTCTCCCCTCTACCTCCTCTCCTCTCTCCCCTCTAACCGCTCGCTCCCCCTCTACGCTCTCTCTCTCTCTCTCTCACACTCTACGCTCTCTCTCTCTCCTCTTCTCACTCTCCTCCCTTTCCCCTCTACGACGCTCTCTCTCCTCTCATCTCCGCTCTGCACCCCCCCCCTCTACCCTCTCTCTACTCTCTCTCTCTCTCCCTCTCTACGCTCTCTTCTCTCTCCCCTCTACGCTCTCTCTCTCTCTCCCCTCTACGCTCTTCGCTCTCTCCCTCTATCTCTCTCTCCCCTCTACGCTCTCCTCTCTCTCTCTCTCCCCTCTACCGCTCTCTCTCTCCCCTCTACGCTCTCGCTCTCTCTCCCTCTACCCTCGCTCTCTCTCTCCTCCCTCTCGCTCTCCCCTCTCGCGCTCTCCTCTCTCCCCTCTACGCTCCTCTCTCTCTCCTCCTCTCTCTCCCTCTAATCCTCTCTCTCTCTCTCTCTCCCCCTCTTTCCCCTCTCTCTCTCTCTCCCCTCTCGCCTCTCTCTCTCATCCCCTCTACTCTCTCTCTCTCTCTGCCCCCCTACGCCTCTCTCTCTCTCTCCCTCTACTTACGCTCTCTCTCTCCCCTCTCTACGCTCTCGTCTCTCTCATCTCATCTCCGTCTCCTCCATCTCTGCCGTCTCTCCTCTCTCCCCTCTACGCGCTCTCTCTCTCCCCTCTACGTGCTCTCTCTCCCCTCTACGCGCTCTCTCTCCCCTCTACGCTCTCGCTCTCTCTCCTCTATGCTCTCTTTCTCTCTCTCTCCTCTCTACGCTCTCTTTCTCTCTCTCTCTCTCCCCTCTACGCTCTCTTTCTCTCTCCCCTCTACGCTCTCTCTCTCTCCCCTCTACGCTCTCTCTCTCCCCACTACGCTGTCTTTGTCTCTCTCTCTCCCCTTCCTTCTTAGTGGTGTGAGAGGAACCAGGAGTGTCGGAGACTGCAGTTGCGTGACCTGTTGGTGGCGCCGTTGCAACGTCTGACCCGCTACCCCCTGCTGCTGAAGAACGTGGGGAAGAGGAGCCGGACGGAGGAGGAGGAGAGCGCCCTGCAGAGAGTGGTGGACCAGGTGGACACCTCCATATGTGAGCATCCCCCTCCTTCACCCTTGCCACTGAAACACTGTATTGTAAAACCCCATCACTACACAGGCTGCTGTACCATATCTCCTATTTGCCTGGCCTTGAACAGATGCATCTGGTGAGGCTCTTTGATGTTTTCAGCATGATGCGTCAATCATGAAGGGGGCTGTGCGTTTATACTGGTTGGTTTTCCTCTGAGTCTTTTTCACTCAAACACCCACACAGCCCCTGAACACTGCCCGCTTCACAACTGTTCATTTTCAATTAAAAACAGAAAGTCTTATTTCCCCATAACATCCAATGAGAATAACAAAATAGCTTTGCCAGACCATTGCCTACAATGTGTACAACATGGTCAGGATCTCAGGCGAATCTGATATTTCTACAAAACAGTGCAACCTTACCACACTACTTTATTGCACATTCTTACTGCAACACATGACTACGTTACGTTACCCCTCACCACCACACTGACTCTCTATAGTCAGTGGATCATCACACATATTATTAGTGTAAATAAATCTGACTTGGAATTCTGTGAAGCCATTATTGGATTATCTGGGTTATTTGCATAATGGCTGATGTTATCAGCTGAGGTGACTCATCTAAACCTAATTCAACAGTAGTTAGTCATCACTAGTGGCTCCTCTGTCTCTAACCACAACATGAACGTTTTTGCCATGTAAGGAAACTTTAACATACACAAGCAGAGTCAGTCAGCTATCCTCTCCTGTGTCTTACTATGGAGGAAAACATAGAAATAGAATTCTAAATGGCCACCGGTCCTCCTATCACCCCCATTGACTTGAATGGAGATGCCATTCTAGGAGTTCTATTTCTACGTAGGAAACAGCAGCCCTGCCGTTCAGGCCATCAGCTCTAGGGGTTTTTCTGACAGAGCTATGTGGGCTTTTGTCAGCCACTTACACATCTCCTGGCTTAACTCACATCTTCACGCCCATTACAAAATATACACTGTGGAAAAGTTAATTTGCACACAGTCTTCTCAGCAAATACAACCAAGGGGGATATACAAATACATGTATTTTAGAAATGGTAACAAATAGGCAGTTTGTTTGTTTGTTTGTTTGGGCAGCAACCAAAATCTGTGACAGTTGAAGTCTTCTCTGCGTGCCTGTACTTGCAGACGCGTTTTGGTGGTTCACTCTATAACTAGATGGACAGGACCGGCTGTGGGGAAATGTGTACCAGTATTGTACCTTGAATGTGATTGTTATTGTATATCGAACCTGCTTTTTCTATTCCAGTGCTTTTACTGTGTGCTTCAAAGTTCTTTCCCATAGCCAGGGTGTGACTGTACAGACAATAACAGAGGTATACAGGGAGTTGATGAGGCCTGGGAATAGCATTGTCACAATGGCAGGCTGGGCTGAATAGGTCAATGTTTAATGGGTGCGGTGGGTGTATACAGTAAGAGGTGGGCGCAGTCTAATCTCTGAATGTGATTGTTGCATCATAGATCACACCTATGTTGAGACACACAGACAACTGTCGTCATCATTTAATGATATCCGTATCAGCAACTTTTGAGATGCAACATCAGAGATACAATTTCAAATTGCTTTGTTTCATTGCCAATGCCAGACAAATTGATAGTTCAATAAAAATTGTGCACATAGCTGAACATTTTACAAAGTACATTTACGTCATTTAGCAGATGCTCTTATCCAGAGCGACTTACAATTAGTGAGTGCATACATCTTTCATACTGGCCCCCCGTGGGAAGTATGTACTATAGTACTATATTATTAAATTAATATGAAGTTACATAAATTATATTAATATAATCTGATGACAACAAAGTGACATCCTTGTTAAGACTGTTATGTGTGTTCCAAAGCCAGGAATACGCCAGCCAGAATCGATGTTCCTAATTAGTGTGCACTGCTCACTATCAAACAGTGGTGGAGTGGAATGCAGTTTAGTGTCCTTGTTGGTTTGTTTGTGTCACACACATCCCTCCCCCTCTGTGTGTGGTTGTGTGTGTGTTGTGTGGGTGTGTTTTGTTGTGTGTGTGTGGGTGTGTTTTGTAGGTGATCTGGAGGGCAAAGTCAAATGGCTGGACAACTACCAGAAGGTGAAACAGCTGAGAGATGCCCTGGTGTGGCTGCCAGTGTGGGAGAGAGGCAAGCGGGCCTTCGTCCCTGAGGTAAGGGTCCATTCACAATAGTGAGAGAGTTGAGCTTTGAATACCAAACTGGGTTTGCACAAATACATAATAGAATATAATTCACTTAATTGACTTAATCCTCTTAGTTCCTGGAGGAACATGGGCCTCTGTACTTAGTTCCTGGAGGAACATGGGCCTCTGTACTTAGTTCCTGGAGGAACATGGGCCTCTGTACTTAGTTCCTGGAGGAACATGGGCCTCTGTACTTAAGCTTTCCAATGATGCTGGTCTTGGGTTGGTGTCTTTACCTCTGGCCACGAAAAATGGATATTCTTTGGTTTGGATTAGAATAGAACAGATCATATGGTTAACGTTTGATACACAAGTCAGATACAGTACAACAACAACTTAGCTGTATCTTGAATGATATCAATGCATTGATGTAAAGTAAAGAGAAAGCTGTCTGAAGCATCTTAGTTTTTTCAGATAAAAATCAAGTGATATCTGAACATCATGATCCGCAAAGCTAGATATGCATGCAAGAGATATAACGGTGTGATATGATAAAAATAAAATATACTCCCACCACATATGAACTCGTAAGAATGCAAATAAATTATGCGTCTACCCACAACCTAACCTCAGCCCTTCATTTGGCTATGAACAGAATCTGAAGCATCTCCTGAAAGCAGTCACCCTGGAAAACCTCATCGCTCGTCGGAGCCTCCTGCACGAGGGCAAACTAGTGCTCACAGGTCGGTGACATACAGAGTAATCAGACAAGACTAATTATAATTACGTTTGAAGTACTGTAGTTTTACATCGGCCATGTCCTGACATCATCTCTATATGTGTTACCACCAGAGAATGCCAAGCTGCATGATGTGTACCTGTTTCTCTTTGACGAGTTCCTCCTCATCACCAAGATCAAGAGGAACAAGAAGGTAGGACCCATATCTATATGATTTTCTCACATATATACTTAACTACATATGTATTATAACTTACTTAACAACTACCTACGTATAGTACTTAAAACAACTACTTACGTATAGTACTTAATCCTCTAATAATCCCCCCCCCCCCGTTTAGAAGTCCACAGGTCCTGAACAGAATCCTTTGCGCCTCCCTCAGAACCAGGAGTTTGACCAGCTGCTGAAGGAGGGCTGTACATTCACCGTCCTGGACCAGCCCGTCTCGCTGGACCGCCTCCAGCTCAAGAGCGTCGACCAACTCAACGCAGCAGGTGGGGAGGGATCAACACCTGCATGATATATTAATTGAAAAAGGCCAGCACTCAATTATATAGTTTCCACAGTTTAAGGAACATGTCCTAGTAACACACACAAGCATTTTGGCTTTTGTCAACCTTAATGTGATTGTCAAATCAAAGTTTATTTGTCATATGCACAGGATACAGCGGGGAGTAAATGGTAAAATGACATGCTTAGTTGCAAGCTCTCCTCTCAACAGTGCAGTAACTTAACAGTGTATGTTTTTATGGAAAATAATGTACAACCTGATCCCAGGACCTCATCACTGATTTAAACATAGGCCTATGAACATCTACTAATCTATTACATTTAGGCTATTTGGCACTTGTTCACACCTCTTGCTTTACTTCAGGGTTTCCCAAACTCAGTCCTCGGGACCCCAAGGGGTGTACATTTTGATTTGTGATGTAGCACTACACATCTGATTAAATAATCAACTAATCATAAACTTTGATCATTTGAATCAGCTGTGTAGTGTTGGGGCAAAAACCAAAACGTGCACCTCCAAGGGATCCCGAGGACAGTTTGGGAAACGCTGCTTTACTTACTGATAAGATACTGACTTGATATCAATAATGAAACCTATGATAAAAACATATTGTGCAATCCACAGTTATCTAAACCGCAGATTAGTAATCTGTAATCGATTACAGTATCAGTCCTGAGTTATTTGTTCAGTACTCTTCCTTCTGTACTGCTTATGTGTGTTTGCAACAGAACTGGTCCCGTGTGGCTCAGTTGGTAGAGCATGGCGCTTGCAATGCCAGGGTTGTGGGTTCGATTCCCACAGGGACCAGTACGAAAATGTATGCATTCACTACTGTAAATCACTCTGGATAAGCGCATCTGCTAAATGTAAACTGAGTTGTATTCATTAGAAGCAAAAGGGCCAAAACAGGGAGGCACTACCTGAACTTCCAATAAGAAACGCTTGCTTTCATTTTCCGGGACAAAACTTTTTCTATGTTTTTCTACGGTGTGCACTAATGAATATGACCCTGCCATGTTTCCTCCTTCTCTTCTCAGCGTCAGGGCTACCCCAATCCTTCATCATCATGCACCAGAACCGCTACCAGCAGTGTATCGCTGCCTTCGTTCTACAAGCGCCGTCCGAGGCCGTCAAGGTACAGTAAGAGCACTCTGAACTTAAAGTAAACGCACTGTACGTGTTGTAGGCCTAACAAAAACACTGTATTTTTACATTGCATACCGATTTGGTTGTTCATGTGTAAATGCACCATGGTGTCTGGCAACATTTCGTTATGTGGTATCTCATGTTACGCTATCTTATGTAAGGCATGGATCTATCATTATCATGAAATTCCCATCTCAAACAGCAGGGTCAAAGATTATTAATTTTAGATGAGTTGCTAGTTGAATACTGCCATATAAAATCCTTCATTCATCACCATGTTTAATTCCCATGCCTGATAATAATCATTGTTGAGCTATTTACAGTCTATATTTGTCTAGGAGATTTTCTCTGAGCAAACATACAAATTGCTATCCTCCCAGAAATCAAGTGACTCGCTCCAGTTAGTGTTTGTCATAGTGCTGAGCGATTTAGTGCTTTTTGAGGTTGTTTCGGTCCGATTATTTAAAAAAGAATCATGGCTTTCGGTTTAAATGTATTTTTGACATTAAAAGCACTGTGCATTATGTGGGTTGAATGCTGTAACAACACAGAATAAAACAATTAATTTAAGTCCCATGATGGTAGTGACTGCCCATTACTGCTTATCACTTATGAACCATAATTTATTCACATTACTTTAATAAAATATTTGTTTTATTTGATGACTATTTAATTCCAAGTCATCTCATCTCTAAAGAGCTGCTGCCTATGCTGTCTTACAAAATCACTATTTTTGTAGTTGTTCAAAGTAAATAAGGCATACTTTTATGACTTCTGAATACCAACTATCAAGATCAACTGCTTTCTATCCCTCTCGATTGCTAGTTCTCTCTTCTCTGTCTGTGTCCTGCTCCGCACAGATGAACAAGTTTAAGTGGGCCCGCAATGGATTAGGGTCATTGTAGTTAATTACCATGTTTTATTTTACTAAACTATGTAAAATATTGGCCTATTGGAAACTACAACTCCCTACTACATTGCACAGTTCAGGCTTGATCTGATTTATCTCTACAGAAACTGCACATCGAGCTCACAGAAAAAAACTGAACGAAATGGAATTCAAATAATAGAACAGACTTCAGTCAATCAAATAACCTACATTTCGGTTAATTGCTCAGCACTAGTTGGTCATCAGACGATCGGACACAAGCAGAGAAGTGTGTATTCCAATACCTTGCTCGTTGATACATCTAGGTTAGGTGGAATATCCTTCATTACTAGGCATGAGTGAGGTTGCAAAGGGTGGGTATATTACTGGAAACTTTCAAAGTTTACCAGTAAACTACCAGAATTTTGGTGTCTTTCAATGATTTTATGTAATTATCACGACATCTAGTGACCCTTTTGGGTACTTCAGATTATCACAGGTGTCTAATCTCTGGCCCTCTCTCTGGCATTATCACGTGGAAAATATATTTAATAATTCAATAAGATTATTTTTTAAATAAAAAATATAAAGCTGTAAAACATTATCGTTAATATAAACCAACTTAAGTCCCGATTCCAATTTAGGAAATTATGCCTTTCTCAGTAGTTGGTATTCAGACTTACCTTGTGCAGGTGCAAAACAGGCTTTGCAGGCGTGGTTCCCTTGCACACTCTGATTAAATGTAATTAAACTGTTGAAAACCCTCCCACTTGCTGGCATCAGATTTTCTCCTGGAGTGTTCATTCAATAGGGTTGTCAGTACATTTATCTTAATGGTGTACCTTTTTATTTGAATATTGTTGACAGACTAGAATACATTGAGAGAACAGGTTCAGAAAATAGGGATCAGTTCGCTGCAGCTAGCGACTGGAGTGAGCTGCAAAAAAACACTCAAACTGGACAGTTTTATCTCCATCTCTACATTCGGACTCAATCATGGACACGCTTACTAACACTTGTGGCTGCTTCACGTGATGTATTGTTGTCTCAACCTTTTTGCCCTTTGTGCTGTTGTCTGTGCCTAACAATGTTTGGACCATGTTTGTGGTGCTAACATGTTGTGCTAATGCCATGTTGTCATGTTGTGTTGCTGCCATGCTTTGTTGTTGTATGGAGTGTTGTGGTGTCTCTCTTGTCGTGATGTGTGTTTTTGTCCTATATTTTTATTTTTAATCCCAGCCCCCGTCCCAGCAGGAGGCTTTTTGCCTCTTGGTAAGCCATAATTTTGTTCTTAATTGACTTGCCTAGTTAAATAAAAATACAAAATAAAAATGAAAGAAACCATCTAAATATATGCATATTCATCTCCGTTTCAACACCGACTGGTAGATGTAAAAACTCTGATCTTGTAGATTATGTAGGCACATTTTGGGGTTAGGAAAGTATATATGAATCATTAAAAAAAAGCAGGTTTAGAGCCTTAACGCACTAAATATATTGATGAATTAAAAATAGTGGTTTGATTCATCCTGAAAGTTGTCATATTCAAGTTCAATCCATGAAATATTGGAAAGTGGATGAAAGTGTACAATAGGGGTTGAACAAGTCCTATAAATCCACCTTAATTCTCACTAATCATGGAACTGTATGACAACGGTCCAGTCGTCATGAACCATCCGCCAGGCTCCAGGTTTAACCTGCTACGTGTGGTCTGAGTTCCATAATGATTCAAATAGGCCACATGTCCCAAATTATTTCACAACGTTAGCCTAATAAGATCCACTAATGCTAGTGACCCTCAGGAACAACTTACACGGACGTGACAGAGGAAAGAAAGGTAAACGGAATGGAATGATGTGAAATGTAAGTTACAAATAGAAGAAAACAAACACTAAAGTGACAGTTATAAATGTATGTGGGTGTTACTGACGGTGCCTCCCGATACTGGCAAATATTTAACATGATACAAATTGTGAAATAAAACTGAGAAATGCATGGACATAGGCTATAATTAAAACATTCTAAAGGCATACATCAAATTATGAGGACACACACAATTACAATTCTGAATAACGGCACAGCTACAGTGGGGGGAAAAAAGTATTTAGTCAGCCACCAATTGTGCAAGTTCTCCCACTTAAAAAGATGAGAGAGGCCTGTAATTTTCATCATAGGTACACGTCAACTATGACAGACAAATTTGAGGGAAAAAAATCCAGAAAATCACATTGTAGGATTTTTTATGAATTTATTTGCAAATTATGGTGGAAAATAAGTATTTGGTCACCTACAAACAAGCCAGATTTCTGGCTCTCACAGACCTGTAACTTCTTCTTTAAGAGGCTCCTCTGTCCTCCACTCGTTACCTGTATTAATGGCACCTGTTTGAACTTGTTATCAGTATAAAAGACACCTGTCCACAACCTCAAACAGTCACACTCCAAACTCCACTATGGCCAGCTGTCAAAGGACACCAGAAACAAAATTGTAGACCTGCACCAGGCTGGGAAGACTGAATCTGCAATAGGTAAGCAGCTTGGTTTGAAGAAATCAACTGTGGGAGCAATTATTAGGAAATGGAAGACATACAAGACCACTGATAATCTCCCTCGATCTGGGGCTCCACGCAACAGCTCACCCTGTGGGGTCAAAATGATCACAAGAACGGTGAGCAAAAATCCCAGAACCACACGGGGGGACCTAGTGAATGACTTGCAGAGAGCTGGGACCAAAGTAACAAAGCCTACCATCAGTAACACACTATGCCGCCAGGGACTCAAATCCTGCAGTGCAAGACGTGTCCCCCTGCTTAAGCCAGTACATGTCCAGGCCCGTCTGAAGTTTGCTAGAGTGCATTTGGATGATCCAGAAGAGGATTGGGAGAATGTCATATGGTCAGATGAAACCAAAATAGAACTTTTTGGTAAAAACTCAACTCGTCGTGTTTGGAGGACAAAGAATGCTGAGTTGCATCCAAAGAACACCATACCTACTGTGAAGAATGGGGGTGAAAACATCATGCTTTGGGGCTGTTTTTCTGCAAAGGGACCAGGACGACTGATCCGTGTAAAGGAAAGAATGAATGGGGCCATGTATCGTGAGATTTTGAGTGAAAACCTCCTTCCATCAGCAAGGGCATTGAAGATGAAACGTGGCTGGGTCTTTCAGCATGACAATGATCCCAAACACACCGCCCGGGCAACGAAGGAGTGGCTTCGTAAGAAGCATTTCAAGGTCCTGGAGTGGCCTAGCCAGTCTCCAGATCTCAACCCCATAGAAAATATTTGGAGGGAGTTGAAAGTCCGTGTTGCCCAGCGACAGCCCCAAAACATCACTGCTCTAGAGGAGATCTGCATGGAGGAATGGGCCAAAATACCAGCAACAGTGTGTGAAAACCTTGTGAAGACTTACAGAAAACGTTTGACCTGTGTCATTGCCAACAAAGGGTATATAACAAAGTATTGAGAAACTTTTGTTATTGACCAAATACTTATTTTCCACCATAAATTGCAAATAAATTCATTAAAAATCCTACAATGTGATTTTCTGGATTTATTTTCCTCATTTTGTCTGTCATAGTTGACGTGTACCTATGATGAAAATTACAGGCCTCATCTTTTTAAGTGGGAGAACTTGCACAATTGGTGGCTGACTAAATTATTTTTTCCCCCACTGTATTTATAGCCTATTACACTGTGGAAAGGGGCTGCAATACGTTATGATTTTCAGTTTGGTTTCATATAGCTGGTTTCACATTCGTCTCCAGGGATAATAAGGAAAGATCTTCTAAAACAATTGCTGTGTGTATTTACAATCCCCTTCTCCAAACGGATTACTCATTTACCGAGCTCTAATCAATAGCTCCTGTCCATTTAATAAAATTACAGTGCATGGAGAATGCTGTTATTTTTATCGGAACAAAGATACGTTTTTTCCACTTAGAACCGGCAGGTTTGCTCAACCTTATTCATGGTTTCCTCGCGCATAAAGGTGGTGGAATTAAGTCAAGGTCAAAATATGGCTTATCAGTAGACGCACCTCAGCCACACCTTCATTTCTTAGATCTCCACCCCAAACAAATAGTGGGTGAATAGCATGCTATTTTCATGCTTAAATTCAAGGTCAGAACGCGCATAAAAAGGAACGTTCCATTTACGCGCGCTTAACCCGGGTCTGAATCGGGGCATAGTGAATACCATTTGTGTTTTAATATGAGTGTTTCGGCATGGAATATAATTTATTAATTTTTTACACTTTAATTTATTTGTCCATATGTACAGTACCAGTCAAAAGTTTGGACACCAACTCATTCAAGGGTTTTTCTTTATTTTTTACTATTTTCTGCATTGTAGAATAATAGTGAAGACATCAAAACTATGAAATAACACATGGAATCATGTAGTATCCAAAAAAGTGTTAAACAAATCAAAATATATTTTATATTTGAGATTCTTCAGATAGCCACCCTTTGCCTTGATGACAGCTTTGCACACTCTTGGCATTCTCTCAACCAGCTTCACCTGGAATGCTTTTCCAACAGTCTTGAAGGAGTTCCCACATATACTGAGCACTTGTTGGCTGCTTTTCCTTCACTCTGCCGTCCGACTCATCCCAAACTATCTCAATTGGGTTGAGGTCGGGGGATTGTGGAGGCCAGGTCATCTGATGCAGCACTCCATCACTCTCCTTCTTGGTCAAATAGCCCTTGCACAGCCTGAGGTGTGTTGGGTCATTGTCCTGTTGAAAAACAAATGAGAGTCCCACTAAGCCCAAACCAGATGGGATGGCGTATCGCTGCAGAATGCTGTGGTAGCCATGCTGGTTAAGTGTGCCTTGAATTCTAAATCAATCGCTGATAGTGTCACCAGCAAAACACCCCCACATCATGACACCTCCTCCCCCATGCTTTATGGTGGGAACTACACATGCGGAGATCATCCGTTCACCCACACCGCATCTCACAAAGACACGGCGGTTGGAACCAGAAATCTCCAATTTGCACTCCAGACAAAAGGACAAATTTCCACCTGTCTGTCCATGCTCGTGTTTCTTGGCCCAAGCAGGTCTCTTCTTATTATTGGTGTCATTTAGTAATGGTTTCTTTGCAGCAATTCGACCATGAAGGCCTGATTCACACAGTCCCCTCTGAACAGTTGATCTTGAGATGTGTCTGTGACTTGAACTCTGTGAAGCATTTATTTGGGCTGCAATTTATGAGGCTGGTAACTCTAATGAACTTATCCTTTGCAGCAGAGGTAACTCTGGGTCTTCCATTCCTGTGGCGGTCCTCATGAGAGCCAGTTTCATCATAGCGCTTGACAGGTTTTGCGACTGCACTTGAAGAAATTTTCAAAGTTCTTGAAATGTTCTGTATTGACTGACCTTCATGTCTTAAAGTAATGATGGACTCGTTTCTCGTTGCTTATTTGAGCTGTTCTTGTCATAATATGGACTTGGTCTTTTACCAAATAGGGCTATCGTCTGTATACCCCCCCTACCTTGTCACAACACAACTGATTGGCTCAAACGCATTAAGAAGGAAAGCAATTCCACAAATTAACTTTTAGAAGGCACACCTGTTAATTGAAATGCATTCCAGGTGACTACCTCATGAATCTGGTTGAGAGAATGCCAAGAGTGTGCAAAGCTGTCATCATGGCAAAGGGTGGCTATTTGAAGAAAATCAAATATAAAATATATTTTGATGTGTTTAACACTTTTTTGGTTACTACATGATTCCATATGTGTTATTTTATAGTTTTGATGTATTCACTATTATTCTACAATGTAAAAAATAGTAAAAATAAAGAAAAACCCTTGAATGAGTAGGTGTCCAAACTTTTCACTGGTAGTGTATTTGTCAAACTCGTGGCAGTTGTAAAAAAAAAAGTATATAGTTGGTTGAGTTACAGAGGTAATAGAAAATAATCCCATTGTAGATGTAATTTTTATCAAATAGGCTATTTTCTCTTGAACCATATGGTCTATATACTAGAAACTCATGGACAATATGGACACAGATATAAAAAAATGATATATATTTAATACTTTTTTTTTTGTTATTCAAGAATAATGACCAAAGTTACGATAATTGCCATAGACATTGTTAATTAACAAAATTACTGGTCGCTTTGCAACCCTAGGCATGAGTTAGTGAGCCAAGTATCCTCATGGTACCCTGTGAGTGTGTCAAGTTTAATTTCAAGTGCATTTCAAAGGTCACAACACACTTTACATGATTTAAAAAAGAACAAAACGATGTAGAAAGGGGAACAATATCAACCACAATACAAATGTGTGCGTTTCCAGAGGGTGTGGATCTCAGAGATAGAGGGCGCTGTGACGACACTGCTGAGACTGGATTCCCAGCAGCCTCCCCGGGTGAAGAGCTCCTCACTGTGGCTAGAGTCCTCCCAGATCTGAGACATCTGACGTTCACTACAACAGGGGACCACAAATACTGCTTCTGGGGCCTCCCACTATAGGTCCTAAACCATAGGCTATGATATTTTATTTTCACATTGTCCTTTCCAGCAGAGTTCCAGAAACATGGTGGATGTGTAACCAGGCCAGCCCAGTACAACTAGGCTGGTTCTAAGTACAGACCAACTCAAATGCACTTGATTAAACTAGCTCGTTGTCGATACCTTTGATTAGTTTAATCAGGTGTGTTGGTTGGTGCTGGGCTGGAAGGAAAACCTGCACTCTTGGTGAATCTTTCCAGTACCAGGGTTGGTGAGCACTGCCCTAGACTAAAACAAGGACTACTATTACTGTGTCATGCACTGTGGTTCCTCCTAAGCCATTTTAAAATACTAGCTGGATAATTTCTAAAATTCAGGTTTGCTTTGAAAGTGCATTGTGTTACCATAAGATGACAATAAATTGTTGAAAATGAGAAGTGTTGACTTTGTCCTGTGTTGCTGATGGGTGCTCAGAATACATTATAAATGTATGCGGCTAACAATACATCACAAGTCAGAACAGTACAACTAACCCATGTCATTATCATCCAAGTGGGTGAGAGATCATACTCTAACACACTGGTATAAAAACAGACACTGACCACCAAGGAAAATAGAAACACCTAGTTTTATTTAGTCTAACTCATGATGGAACATTTGAAAACAAACAAAAGTGGTACATCTGGTCAATTGATATTATTCTTTCTCTAATCACACACACATCCCTCCTTCAAGGTCAGGCGGTCAGTGACAAACTGTGTGGTGGCAGTGCTCCAAGGGAACACAGGGTTCCTGACTGTCAACATGACAATTAGCCTGACAAACAAGGACCGCGTTCCAGAGCTTAGACTGCGCTGATGCCTGACAGATCTAACACTTGGATAGGTATTTTAAGTAAGTATCAGCTACCCACATCTGTTATAGCAATTTATCAGTCGATGACGTGGAACGCAACCATTGGATGTTGCGTCGACTCACCTTAGCCTTGGAACGCACCCATGACCTTGGGCCGGTCCTCTGCCCAGGCGTTGCTGACGCATGCCAGATCTTACAACGCCTGGATAGATATTTTACGTATCAGCTAACCACATCATAGAAATCTGTCAGTCGATGACGTGGCACGCAACGTTTGAGCAGGGTAACGCGACCTTTGGCTTAAGGCACACCCACTACATACGAGCCCTGTTGCAATACACCAGAAATGTATCCTTCCTTCCTTGTAGTCACAGATCGGTGGAAGTGAGTGTTAACCTTCCTTTCATCTATCCATCCACTTATAGATTTGTGCTTACCTGAAGGAAATCAGGAAAGACTAATTTCTAAAGTATACGAACGGTGCCATGATATCCTCTAAAGTGGAGGAAGAAGAATGAACTATAAAGCCAATAGTAACATCATGCATGATGACGGCCGACATCCACGTGAAATAAACCACAGATTAATTTGTGTAGTAGTGCCATTCCCTAAAATGAATTCAGTAAGACAATGGACTTTTTTTTACATTACATTTGTCGACGTTTCTTTATATACAAGTGTTAACCTTAAATTTTCTTATGGAAGAAAAAAACTAAACATTTTACAAAGATAATTACAATAGCCTTGGTATTAGTAAGTGACAATGTCGTACAATAAGATGGTAAACCCTATGACAGAGTTACAGGGGGGCAGGTTTTTGCTCCAGCCGAGCACTGAAACACCCGTTTCAAATTAAAGTATTGATGAGCAGTAGCTATGAAACAGAGGTGTTAGTGATGGGCTGGAACAAAAGCCTGCACTAACCTTGTAGCCCTCTCCAGGACCAGGGTTGGTGACCACTGCTCAACTGTAAGGGTGGAGTTAGTGGTGCGATACTTGGCACAGAGAGGCTGTGCCTGTGACGGCTCTTAACCCAGAATATGTTGAGGTGCAGCCTAGACCTCCAATCTCTTGGCCTTAGTGACAACTTAAATTAAATACATCTATCAAGCTGGGGAACTTGATCTGTAGGGACTGGGCAGCAGGGAAAGAATAATCTTTCAGGTTAACCATAGTGCTATTTATATGCCTGTACCAATCTGAGGTAGACAAAAAAGGGAGGGCGAGGGGAGGGTGGGTTATACCCAGGACCAAGTTTGGGAAACTCTGAGCTAGATGGACAGTTAGACATACAGCAAACCAGAAGCCAGACAGCTAACCATGCCACACAAACAAGTCACTCACAATAACATGGCAGTCTTTAAACTAAGAGCCTGTATCATTGACTGTGGATTGACCAGACAGTGCAGGAGCAGTTCAAATCAGTACGTATTCAGAAAGTATTCACACCCCTTGACTTTTTCTACATTTTGTGTTACAGCCTGAATTTAAAATGTATTAAACTGAGTGTCACTGGCCTACACACAATTCCACTTTGAAATGATGGTGTATTATGTTTTTTGACATATAATTAGTTGCATGGACTCACTGTGTACAATAAGTGTTTAACATGAGGTAGGCATTCAAAAATCATCTCTGTACCCCACACATAAAATTATCTGTAAGGTCCCTCTGTCGAGCAGTGAATTTCAAACACAGATCCAACTACAAAGACCAGGGAGCTTTTCCAATACCTCAAAGAAGGGCACCTATTGGTAGATGGATAAAAAAAAAGCAGACATTGAATATCCCGTTGAGCATGGTGAAGTTATGAATTACACTTTGGATGGTGTATCAATACACCCAGTAACTACAAAGATGCAGGCCTAACTCAGTTTCCAGAGAGGAAGGAAACCGCTCAGGGATTTCACCATGAGACCAATGGTGAGTTTAATGGCTGTGATAGGATGAATCAACAACATTGTAGTTACTCCACAATACTAACCTAAAAGACAGAGTGAAAAGAAGGAAACCTGTACAGAATACAAATATCCCAAAACATGCATCCTGTTTGCAATAAGGAACTAAAGTAAAACTGCAAAAAAATTAGCAAATAAATGAACTTCATGTACTGAATAAAAAGCGTTATGTTTGGGGCAAATCAAACAACGCATCACTGAGTAACACTTCCTATTATCAAGCATGGTGGTGGCTGCATCATGTTATGGGTATGCTAGTTTCCGGCAAGGACTAGGGAATTTTTTAGGATAAAAATATAATGGAATAGCGCTAAGCACAGGCGAAATCCTAGAGGAAAACCTGGTTGTCTGCTTTCCAACAGACACTGGGAGACAAATTCAGCTTTCAGCAGGACAATACCCTAAAACACACGGCCAAATATACACTGGAGTTGTTTACCAAGACGCCATTGAATGTTCCTGTGTGGCCTAGTTACAGTTTTTACTTAAATTGGCTTGGAAATCTATGACAAGACTTGAAAATGGCAGTCTAGCAATGATCAACAACCAACTTGACAGAGCTTAAAGAATTTTTAAAAGAACAATGTGCAAACATTATACAATCCAGGTGTGCAAAGCTATTAGAGACTTACCCAGAAAGACTCACAGCTGTAAATCGCTGCCAAAGGTGATTCTAACATTTATTGACTCAGGGGGTTGAATACTTATGTAATCAAGATATGTTTTATTTTTCACAATTGTTTTTACAAATGTTAGAATTTTTCTTACACTGACAGAGAATTTTGTGTAGATCGTTGACAAAAAATACAAATATATTTTTTTTTATCCCACCTTGTAACACAACAAAATGTGAAAAAAGGCAAGGGGTGTGAATACTTCCTGAAGGCACTGTTTTTAGGTTCATTCTCATGAAACTGACGTGACAAAACTCAAGTGTAATTTTTTAATACATTTCCTCTTGAATCACCGAGATTAGGATCTGTACTTATCTATTTCATAATTATTCTTGTTTTTTGATAATGCATTTTACAACTACCAATGCAAAACAACTACCAATGCAAAATTTATAATTCTCGCAACACTTTTTAAAGTCCATAAAAGTAATAAACAAATCAATTATATTTTTTAACATTGCTTCCCTAATGAAAAGGCCTTAGTTAAACACATTAAATGTAATTATTAAAATGTATTTCGTAAAATCGTATCACAACCTTTGAATCTTTTGTCATAATCACTTGTGTATACATTTATTATATTTTATTTATGTTCACATATTTGGATAAAGAACAAAAGTCACTGTCAGATTATGCCAAAATTGTATAAATTTGTCCTAATATTTCCTAAATATTGGTGCATTACAGTAATGATGAGCAGGTTTCGGAGATTAGACTGCATGTTTCGGTAATGAGTGTTGCATAATTTCCATTAAACCTGTACTGATCTCTATCAGAGCTTCAGTAACCCAACAAATCATCAAAGTGTGTCATTTGTTAATCCCAAATGACTTGCATAATACTAAAATCACTCATCTTAAATGTAATTGACTAAAATACCACTTATTTCAGTATAAGTACTGTAATTATATGCATGTATTTTCAAATGTCAAAACTGGACTTAAACATAACTGACTTTTTGGGGGGAGGGGGGAAATATTTATCCAAGGTCTTTACAGGTAATATTGGTGTATTAGGACATGGATATTTGTGGTTGTAAGATATTTTAGAAGTATTTCTGGATTGAATGGGATCCTATGGGCAAATGGCAAAACACAATATGCCTATAAAGTACAGTATCTAAATACGTGACATATGGACTAAAAACTGTCTTGGGATATTCAACCACAGTATAGGTAAGTGTGAAAACAGGTACACATGTCAAAATGGGGGATATTCTTCTTTAAGTGGTGGGGTTGCTCTTTGCTGAAACAAACTGCTAATTGTGGCTTAAAGTAAGTTAAACAGGGTTTATACACCCCATATATCTTGACAAAACCTACTTAATCAAATAACTGTTTTACAAAAACTATTTTCAACAGGGTTAAGGAGTGGTCCTAGTAAAGAAATAAAGTTACCAGCACAGCACTTCCATTGACTATACATTAGCTTAGTATCATTATCGAAATTAAGGTTCTCATTACTGAAACGGACCTAAAAATGACATGGTAATGAGACATTTATGTTTCGGTAATGAGAGACCCTTAGCTCAATCTACCCATTCATGCCTCAATGTTTATAAGGTAATGATATCTGCATTTTTCCCAATTTTAGCTTTTTAACTTGTGTTCTTCTAAAGACTACTTCTCTAGATCAGGGTTTCCCAAAGTCGGTCCTGGGGCCCCACCTGGGAGCACGTTTGGATTTTTGCCCTAGCCCTACACAGCTGATTCAAATAACCAACTCATCATCAAGCTTTGATTATTTTAAATCAGCTGTGTAGTTCTAGGGAAACCCTGCTCTAGATGATACGGTAATGAGACATGCCGACAGACAGTTTTTACGTAATAAATATTATAGTTTAATGTAAGCTTCAACTAGTATAACAATTGTATGATTTATGGACCAACATTTATGATTTACAGCAAGTGTTTTACTCAACTAAGTTTTTTATTGTATAAAATGACCTGAGAATTTAATATGGACGCATTTCGGTAATGAGAATTTGGGGTGAAAATGAATTTAAAAAATAATGCGGAAAATGTCAACTTTATTTAAAATAAGACTTTTTGTCTTCAGAATGATAGTTGATTTTTGCAGATGCATTATGGTTTCGTAACTGAATTTGCTACAGACATGTTTAAAACTAGTTTCATGAGAATCACCCATTAAGAGCTTGTCAGCAAGACAATAAAATACTTGAACAAGGATTACATTTATTTAAGTGTTATCAGTTCTGTTTGACAGGTCTTAAAGAGTTAGCAATTAGTGTAAATCAACATTGACATGTACAAAAGTGTCGTAGAGAGAAGGTTTAAACAGTCCACCATGCAGACATACAAACTGACAACACTGCAGCCACACACACACACACATTCCTAAAGCACCACATATACACGTGCACGCATACACGTGGACAGTTATTGCTTCAAAGCAAAGGACACACAGCTCCTGCAGTAGTCATGATGTTGAATGGGATACAGGCGACAGAAACAGCACATGCAACCAACCACGTGGACGGTCAATCATGTCTACATTCACTGAGAAAAAGAAGCAACACAAGTAGTCGTTTGCAAGAGATCACAACGGTGCAAAACAAAAAAGTAATTCAGTTTTGTACAAAGATGAGCAGCATTGAAAAAAAATCTGATGTATATCATGCATGTCTGAATTCATGATAAAATGTATGACCTTACGAGTCAAAAATTCAAAGCTTTCAGCTAGATTTAAAAAGTAATTGAAATGAAATAAAGGTATAAAAAAATCCATGCTTTCCATTTTGCTTCATATCATGCCATCTCAGGACAGTTGGACGCCTCCAGTTAGACATTCTTTGGGTCGTGAACAAAATACTTCTAAAACAAAACAGAACCACTGCTTTCTACCTTTCAAGGTAACTCTTTATCCTTTCGTCGGTATAACCCCCGTCTTACACCTGCCTTCACAACCCTTCTAGACACTAACAGTCAACTGATGGCCGCTGTTCGAGGTGCAGTGCCTTGCAAAAGTATTCATCCCCCTTGGCGTTTTTCCTATTTTGTTGCATTACAACCTGTAATTTAAATTGATTTTTATTTGGATTTCATACACAAAATAGTCCAAATTGGTGAAGTGAAATGAAATAAATTAGTGGTGCATGCATATGTATTCGCCTCCTTTGCTATGAAGCCTCTAAATAAGATCTGGTGCAACCAATTACCTTCAGAAGTCACATAATTAGTTAAATAAAGTCCACCTGTGTGCAATCTAAGTGTCACATGATCTGTCACATGATCCCAGTATATATACACACCTGTTCTGAAAGGCCCAAGAGTCTGCAACACCACTAAGCAAGGGACACCACCAAGCAAGCGGCACCATGAAGACCAAGGAGCTCTCCAAACAGGTCAGGGACAAAGTTGTGGAGAAATACTGATCAGGGTTGGGTTATAAAAAAATATCAGAAACTTTGAACATCCCACAGAGCACCATTAAATCCATTATAAAAAAATTGAAAGAATATGGCACCACAACAAACCTGCCAAGAGAGGGCCGCCCATTAAACTCACGGACCAGGCAAGGAGGGCATTAATCAGAGAGAAAACAAAGAGACCAAAGATAACCCTGAAGGAGCTGCAAAGCTCCACAGCGGAGATTGGAGTATCTGTCATTGGACCACTTTAAGCCGTACACTCCACAGAGCTGGGCTTTACAGAAGAGTGGCCAGAAAAAAGCCATTGCTTGAAGAAAAAAATAAGCATGTGGGAGACTCCCCAAACATATGGGAGAAGGTACTCTGGTCAGATGAGACTAAAATTGAGCTTTTTGGCCATCAAGGAAAACGCTATGTCTGGCGCAAACCCAACACCTCTCATCACCCCGAGAACACCATCCCCACAGTGAAGCGTGGTGGAAGCATCATCATACTGTGGGGATGTTTTTCATCGGCAGGGACTGGGAAACTGGTCAGAATTGAAGGAATGATGGATGGCGCTAAATACAGGGACATTTTTGAGGGAAACCTGTTTCAGTCTTCCAGAGATTTGAGACTGGGACAGAGGTTCACCTTCCAGCAGGACAATGACCCTAAGCATACTGCTAAAGCAACACTCGAGTGGTTTAAGGGGAAACATTTAAATGTCTTGGAATGGCCTAGTCAAAGCCCAGACCTCAATCCAATTGAGAATCTGTGGTATGACTTAAAGATTGCTGTACACCAGCGGAACCCATCCAACTTGAAGGAGACGGAGCAGTTTTGCCTTGAAGAATGGGCAAAAATCCCAATGGCTAGATGTGCCAAGCTTATAGAGACATACCCCAAGAGACTTGCAGCTGTAATTGCTGCAAAAGGTGGCTCTACAAAGTATTGACTTTGGGGGGGTGAATAGTTATGCACACTCAAGTTTTTGTGTTATTTCTTGTTTCACAATAAAAAATATGTTGCATCGTCAAAGTGGTAGGCATGTTGTGTAAATGAAATGATACAAACCCCCCCCAAAATCCAATTTTAATTCCAGGTTGTAAGGCAACAAAATAGGAAAAATGCCAAGGGGTGTGAATACTTTCGCAAGCCACTGTAGATGTGTGGAGTAATGGATGGTGCTGTTGAGCTCTCCCCATTACCATACTCTGTCCGACCGACTGACATGGTCAACTTCAGGTCAGGAGCGGCAAAGGCACTATACAGATGCGCCCGATTCCATCCCATTCAGTCCCATAGCTCAGGGGGGGGGGTCAGCCCTGGAGATCCTCAAAGCATGTCTCACAAACCCGCACAGGCTTCTTGGAGGAGGGTATGAGGGCGTTCTTGGCGGAGCACTCTGCACAGAAGATGTTGCCACAGTGTCTGCAGTGGTGCTGCGCGGGGGGGGGAGTAGAGAGAGAGTCAGTTAGCAGGATGGGCAGTTAGGTTATGCTGACTACTCTTTTGTTCTATATGTATTTTTAGGGTATTTTCACTTTGAGAGAGAGTTTGGAAATCAAAATGGGTTACAGGCAACTGGGAGAAATAGTGGGAAGGGTGGACAGGTGGATTGAACACTGCTCTCTGGTGGGGAGATTTGTACATGGACACGTTTCGGGAGCGTTATCATTCAACCACGGCTCTGCACAGCAGTTTAGAAAAAAACAAAAAAAAGTTTTTGTTAGTTAACCTTTGTGGCTCCTCCAACGTTTACCATGGTCGTGTTCGTGAGGCAGCAAACAAAATAAAACCGACTGAAACAGGGAGGGACTACCTGGACTTGTCCAATAAGAAACATTCATTTGTTGTTGCAAAATATTTGCCCTAATGAACACAACCCAGATGAACAGACCGACGTGTAATACAACTCACCTTCCTAATGGCGAGAGAGAAGCCCTTCCCACAGTCCATGCAGTTCTGTACCTCGTGGTCCTCCGCCCACTTCCTGGTCAGAGACTGTGACTGCTTTATCTACAGACAGGGACAAGGAGAGGGGTTAGAGCACATGCATACACACAGCATGAAAACCAGCTCCACTAACACGCATGCACACTCCAACACACACAGCTCTATTGACAAACTATTCATCGAACGTATCCTACAGTGTTCGAAGCTGCAGAGCGGCGCGGTCTATTGTGACATACAGTAAGTCCACGACTCGATAGCAGCCTATTAAATGAGATTAATACAATTATGTAATAATGGGTCGTCGGACTGTCGGGCTCCATGGATGTGGACTCTGTATTGTACTTAATAATGACTGAGTTCAGCTACAGGTCATATAAAACGATGCATCTGAAGTCCTAATACATGTAGACTGGTGTATGTGTGTGTGTTTATTGTCTAGTTCAGCTACAGCTCAGCTGGTCCTCTGTAGCTCAGCTGGTAGAGCACGGCGCTTGTAACGCCAAGGTAGTGGGTTCGATCCCCGGGACCACCCATACACAAAAAAAAAAAATGTATGCACGCATGACTGTAAGTAGCTTTGGATAAAAGCGTCTGCTAAATGGCATATTATTATTATTATATTATTATATAGAATGTTGCAGCTGACGTCATAATACATGTGTCTAACATAGTGTTATGTATCGTGTATTGTTACCTGTAGTGACTGGTTCTCTCTGCCCAGCTCTTGCATGGCGGCTGTCGTATCATCCAGTTTCCTCCTCATCTCCACTACCTTGGCCTGCAGTTTCTCCATCTCCCCCTCACCATTCACACACCTGAAACACAGCCATAACACAGTCAAAATGGTTGAAGGCTAAAAGCTACAATAGGAGGAGAGAAAAAGAGGAAAGAGGGAGAGAGAGAGTTAAAGGGGGAAAAAATACAAATCAAAGCACTAATCACCTCCAAAGCAACTTCTGCTGCATTACAGGGCGGTTATAACGGGTACAAATTCTAGCAGTCAAACTACCGGTAATCAGTTAGCTTTGACACCTTGCTGGATAGGCTAACAGCCAACCTGCCCTTTTGTTTCGAAGACACCCACTAGGGTAGATCTAGGCGATTTTTGCTATAAGGTCGTTTCTGGTATAAACACGTCACATGGTAATTCTGGAGACAACTTCACACCCACTCCTCTCTCTCACCTCTCCAGCAGCACACGCCTCTCATCCTGGTTGTTCTGCACAGTGGCCTCCAGCACGGCGATCTCGCCCCGCAGTTCGTCGGTCTGCTTCTCCAGTTCGACGCAGTGCCGCTGGCTCCCCTGCCACTCCCTCTTCAGCGTGGCCACGTTCTCGTTGAGCGCCGTCACCTGCAGGCCCAGCCGCGCCTCCGCCTCCTCTCCCCGCTTCGCCTGCCCCTCCCGAGCATTACGCTCTGACGCCTGGGGAGGGGGGAGGAAGAAGGGGGAGAGGGAAAGATAACAGGGTATTTAGAAGTTTTGAAGAGAAAAGCCACACACCTACAGGAGGTCTACAACACATCTGAGTGACGATACCTAAAAGACACCACCACACAGTGAAACACAGCAAGTGACAAAAACATTGCTTGTCTACAAAACACAGCATGTAAAAGCACTAGGTGCTTTTGTGTGTGTGTTTTCTGTTAAGAGAGCTACTGTACATATGATACATTTCCACCAGCAAATAGCATTAAAATGCCAAACATCTCAGTGCATTCGGAAAGTATTCAGACCCCTTCACTTTTTCCAAATTTTGTTACATTACAGCCTTATTCTAAAATGGATTCAATTAAATGTTTTGCTCATCAATCTACACACAATACCCCATAATGACAAAGCAAAAACAGGTTTAGACATTTTTGAAAACAGAAATACCTTATTAAACGTAAGTATTCAGACCCTTTGCTATGAGACTCGAAATTGAGCTCAGGTGCATCCTGTTTCCATTGATCATCCTTGAGATGTTTCTACAACTTGATTGGAGTCCACCTGTGGTAAATTCAATTGATTGGACATGATCTGGAAAGGCACCCAGCTGTCTACATAAGGTCCCACAGTAGACAGTGCATGTCAGAGCAAAATCCAAGCCATGAGGTCGAAGGAATTGTCCGTAGAGCTCCGAGACAGGGTTGTGTCGAGGCACAGATCTGGGGAAGGGTACCAAAAAATGTCTGGAGCATTGAAGGTCCCCAAGAACACAGTGGCCTCCATCATGGTTAAATTGAAGAAGTTTGGAACCACCAAGACTCTTCCTAGAGCTGGCCGCCCGGCCAAACTTAGCAATCTGAGGAGAAAGGCCTTGGTCAGGGAGGTGACCAAGAACCCGATGGTCACTAACAGAGCTCCAGAGTTCCTCTGTGGAGATGGGAGAACCTTCCAGAAGGACAACCATCTCTGTAGCACTCCACCAATCAGGCCATTATTGGTAGAGTGGCCAGACGAAAACTACCCCTCATTAAAAAGGCACATGACAGCCCGCTTGGAGTTTGGCAAAAGGCACCTAAAGGACTCTCAGACCATGAGAAACAAGATTCTCTGGTCTGATGAAACCAAGATTGAACTCTTTGGCCTAAAATGACAAGCGTCATGTCTGGAGGAAACCTGGCACCATCCCTACGGTGAAGCATGGTGGTGGCAGCATCATGCTGTGGGGATGTTTTTCAGCGGCAGGGACTGGGAGACTAGTCAGGATTGAGGGAAAGATGAACGGATCAAAGTACAGAGATCCTTGATGAAAACCTGCTCCAGAGCGCTCAGGACCTGAGACTGGGGCGAAGGTTCACCTTCCAACAGGACAACGACCATAAGCACACAGCCAAGACAACGCAGGAGTGGCTTCGGGACAAGTCTCTGAATGTCCTTGAGTGGCCCAGCCAGAGCCCAGACTTGAACCCGATCGAACATCTCTGGAGAGACCTGAAAATAGCTGTGTAGCAACGCTCCCCATCCAACCTGACAGAGCTTGAGAGGATCTGCAGAGAAGAATGGGAGAAACTCCCCAAATACAGGTGTGCCAAGCTTGTAGCGTCATACCCAAGAAGACTAGAGGCTATAATCGCTTCCAAAAAGTACTGCGTAAAGGGTCTGAATACTTATGTAAATGTGATATTTCATTTAATTAAAAAATTGCAAACATTTCTAAAAACCTGTTTTTGCTTTGTCATTATGGGGTATTGTGTGTAGATTGATGAGGGGGAAAAACTATTTAAGGTGTCTGAATACTTTCCGACTGCACTGTAGCTCCTTTAAGTGTTGATGCCATCTGGAGCATTATTGGGTAGGTGAACGACTAAGCGTACCAGCTGGGCCTGGACCTCCTGGGTCTCTGCCCGTAGCTTCTCCTCTTTCTGGGTAACACTGTCTCTGGTGGCCTGGTGCTGGGTCTTCTCCTGCTCCAGGGCTGCCTGCACCTCCTCCACCCGGCCCTGCGTCTCCAGCTTCTGCTGGATCAACAGTTGCTTGGATTCCCGCAGCTCCCTCAACTCCTGGGGGGAGAGGGGTGAAGAAGAGGGGAATGAGGAGGGGGGAAATGGATAGGTGTAAGCCAGAGGTTCCAAATCTTTTTTGGTTACTGTACCAACAACTGAATTTTGCTCTGCCAGGAGTACCCCTGAAGTACCCACTGATGTGCATTTTACTAGTAGACCTATGGTCTCATGAGTACCCCCTATGGATAGGCCAAGTACCCCTGGTTGGGAACCACTGGTGTAAGCAATATGATAGCAGTTCCATCTTAGCCACAATTCCATCTGACCTCTGAGGACATTTTGCTAATACCTATCCAATAATCTCAGATCTACAGGAGTACCTAGAGGATAGGGGCTGATATGGGATTCAGTTGGCTCAATTCAGAATCAACCCCTCCCCCTTCCACTCAATGGAGTGACTATCCCTGTGACCTGTAAAATGATCCTAGATCGAGGACCACTCGTGAATCAAAATAGGGGATTATTAAATGCATCAGCCTAAGGAGGGCCTCACCTTGTCACTCCTCTCCCTGAGTGACTTCAGCTCAGAGCCCAGTCTGGTCGTGTCCTTCTCCAGGACAGCCTTAGTCTGGCTCAGCTCCTCCGCTCTGCCCCTCTCCTTCTGCAGCTCCCCCTGGGTCACACCCTAGGTGGGGGAGGGGAGGGGGTAAGAGATGGCATCAGAGATTGATCAAAGTCCCCAAAACACGACGCTCTGACTAGGATTGCAAAGGGAGGGAATATTACTGAAAAGTTTCTAAGTTTACCAGTAAACTACCAGAATGTTGGTATCTTTCAAGGATTTTGTGTAATCTGTCACAAGACATCTAGTGGCCCTTTTGGGTACTTCAGATTATCACAGGTGTCTAATCATCTTTTGGCCTTACCACAAAATATCTGAAATAATTAAATAAGATGATTTTAAAATAAAAAATGGAATGACAAAGCTGTAAAACATGATCTTATATACAGTATAATCCATCAATTTAGAGAATACCATTGGTGTTTAATGAGGGTTTAAGCATGAGATATCCTTTATATTATTTTTTACACACTTATTTGTCAATATGTATTTGTTGTCAATGTCTTGGTGTCAAACTGGTGGCAAGTTACAGAGGTAATTGAAAATATGGTAATTGTTGATTAGATGCTTTTTTCATTGATTAGGCTGTTTTCTCTTGAACCATATGGTCTATCCACTAGAAACTCATGGACAATACGGACACAGATATAAAAAAGGAATACTATATATGAATAACTTTTAAAAAGTATAAATTACCAAAATTATGATAGATTGACGTAGTTTCTGTTAATGACCAAAATGACTGAAGATTTCAGTAACTTGGTAAATTACCGGTAGCTTTGCAACCCTAGGTCTGACTATGGGTTGGAATTAGATGTTCAACAATTATAGCAAGAGATTCATTACACAAAACAAAATGGGATACCCCCGAGTGAGACAATAAGTCTTCCCTCCTGGCTCTCATAACGAATATGATTATATGGACAGGGAACTCAGTTGCTTTTGAACAGGACCCTGGGTCTGTATGTACTGTGTGCAAATAAAATCAATCAACCAACCTGTTGTTTCTGCAACTCTTTGAGGGCTGTCTCCTGCTGGCCAAGCCTCTGATCCCGTTTAGCCAGCTCCTGCTCCAGGGAGGCCCTGGCAGCCTTTACCTCCTGGACCTGCCCCTCTAGACCAGTCAGCTGGGTCCGGTTAGCAGCCAACTCCTCCTGGAACAGGGTCAGCCTCTCCTCAGACGCCTGAACAGAGAGTACACACAGGCATGGGTCATATACAGTACACGGTTCATACACACAGCAAACAGGCACGGGTTACAACCTTGTCCTGGTAGACCGTTAGGCAGACACTTGTGTCAGATGATGATCAATATGTACATGCGGTCTGACACGGTCTCTGGTATCTCCATTGATTCCTCATAACTACCTTTGTCTTCTCACATATATTCTCCTCTCACACAACGATTCTTCTTCTCACACAATGATTCTTCCTGTGTAACTCCCACTGACCCTGACCTCCATCCATTGAAATATAATTGAATGTGGATGCCCGTTCTAGTAATTCTATTTCTATGCCTGCATGGTCTCCCACCCACCTTGAGGTCCTGTCTGAGAGATGACAACTCTGACTCCTTGCCGTAGTAGTCAGACTGCAGCTTGGCCAGGCCTTCTTGACTCTGCTCTAGAACCTTCTGTAGCTCAGTGGTCCTGGTCCTCTCAGAGCTCAAATCCTGGCCGAGGCCTGACACCTGCTCCCTCAGACGACCCTCCTCCTCAGCCTGGAACACACACATTTAGTCCAAAACATGGAGATACATAGAATTAAGTGTGTGTGTGTGTGTGTGTATGTATGTCATCTTACCTTCTTGGCATGTGCTCCTTGCAGCTCGGTCACTTGGCTCTCCAGCTTCTTCTTTTCCTGGCTGAAGGACCCCTGGGCTGTCTTCAGCTGTGCCTGCAGCTGCTGCACCCCCTTCTCCTTCTCTTTCAGGGTCTCCTGGGTCTTGGTGTGCTGCTCTGTTAATGCTGTCAGCTGCATCTTCAGCCCTTTTTCTGCCTACAAAGGCAGACACAAAATAGAACCCATTGTGAGGGCATGGACAATCGGTATCTGGGTCGTGTTCATTAGGGCACACCATAGCAAAACATTTTGCAACTAAAACGAAGATGAGTGTTGTCAGTCAGTTTTCTTCCATTTGCTGCCTAATGAATGGGACCATGTATTCATGTCTATGGGTTGCTTACCTCTATGATCTTGTCCAACTGCCCTTTGACCTCTGCCATCTCCTTGGTGGTGGCCTCTGTGGCCTTCAGCAGATCCTGTCTGGCCTTCTCATGGGACTTCTCCTAAAACAAGAAAACATTTTCATATTAACACAGATATATTTATGTTGGATTTGACCTAGAGTCTAAGAGACTTCTGGTGATAACACTGACAAATACAATTCTAGAAGAGCAGGGCCCCTATACATAAAGAGTAGGAGTGCGGATCCAGGATCCGGTCCACCCGTCAATGTAATCTTATTCATTATGATCTAAAAGGCAAAACTGATCCTACAGTATATTAGCATTCCCACTGTAACACTTTATGAATATGGGCCCAAGGAGCTTCCTGACTCCTTCACGTTGCTGTCTGTGCCTTCCACATGGAGGTCAACCACGCCACAACACATTAAACCCACCCTCTCCTCCATAACTGCCTTGCTGCTCTTCCTCTCCTTGTCCAGCTGGCTCTGGCTGTCCTTGATGGCTTTGGAGGCCTTAGCCAGGCCATCCTTGACCACCAACAGCTCCTTCCCCTGGGCCTCCTTCTCCTGCTGGGCCTTCTGGAGCTCCCTGGCCAAGCCCTGGGCTTTCCTGTCCAGCTCTGCCTGCTGCGCCTGCCCCTCCTGGGCTAGCTTTTCCAAGTTGGCCTGGAGGGAGGTCTTCTCCTGCTCACATTGCTCCAGCTGCTGTCGCGTGTCACTCAGGGAGGAGGTTTTTCTCTTCAGCTCCTCCTGTAACGCAACAGCCCTGAAAGAACCATGGAAAGATGCAGAGACCGGTCACAAAGAGTACTGGATGTGGATCAATGACTAACAACAAGGAAAGTGGATGGCCAGAACCACATTTAATTTATTCTCAGGTGGACTGTCTGTAGACGGTTGCTGCAACAGTCATTTTCCCTGTCGTAGGGAGATGATACAGTGCATTCGAAAAGTATTCAGGCCCCTTGACTTTTTCCACATTTTGTTACCTTACAGCCTTATTCTAAAATTGATTAAATTGTTTTTTTCCCTCATCAATCTACACACAACACCCCATAATGACAAAGCAAAAACAGGTTTTTAGAAATGTTAGCAAATGTATGAAAAAAGAAAACTGAAATATCACATTTACATAAGTATTCAGAACCTTTACTCAGTACTTTGTTGAAGCACCATTGGCAGCGATTACAGCCATGAGTCTTCTTGGGTATGACGCTACTAGCTTGGCACACCTGTGTTTGGGGAGTTTCTCCCATTCTTCTCTGCAGATCCTCTCAAGCTCTGTCAGGTTGGATGAGGAGCGTTGCTGCACAGCTATTTTCAGGTCTCTCCAGACATGTTTGATCAGGTTCAAGTCCAGGCTCTGGCTGGGCCACTCAAGGACATTCAGAGACTGTTCCCGAAGCCACTCCTGCGTTGTCTTGGCTGTGTGCTTAGGGTTGTTGTCTTGTTGGAAGGTGAACCTTCACCCCAGTCTCAGGTCCTGAGCAGGTTTTCATCAAGGATCTCTCTGTACTTTGCTCCGTTCATCTTTCCCTTGATCCTGACTAGACTCCCAGTCCCTGCCGCTGAAAAACATCCCCACAGCATGATGCTGCCACCACCATGCTTCACCGTAGGGATGGTGCAAGGTTTCCTCCAGACGTGACGCTTGGCATTCAGGCCAAAGAGTTCAATCTTGATTTCATCAGACCAGAAAATCTTGTTTCTCATGGTCAGAGTCCTTTAGGTGACTTTTGGCAAACTCCAAGTGTGCTGTCATGTGCCCTTTACTGAGGAGTGGCTTCCGTCTGGCAACTCTACCATTAAGGCCTGATTGGTGGAGTGCTGCAGAGATGGTTTTCCTTCTGGAAGGTTCTCCCATCTCCACAGAGGAATTCTGGAGCTCTGTCAGAGTGACCATTGGGTTCTTGGTCACCTACCTACAGGTGTGTGCCTTTCCAAATCATGTCCAATCAATTGAATTGACTACAGGTGGACTCCAATCAAGTTGTAGAAACATCTCAAGGATGATCAATTGAAACAGGATGCACCTGAGCTCAATTTCGAGTCTCATAGCAAAGGGTCTGAATACTTATGTAAATAAGGTTTATTTTTAATTTTTTATTAAATTAGCTAACATTTCTAAAAACCTGTTTTCGCTTTGTCATTGCGTGTAGATAGATGAGGATTTAAAAAAAATCCAGTTTAGAATAAGGCTGTAACGTAACAAAATGTGGGAAGAATCAAGGGGTCTGAATTCTTTCCGAATGCACTGTATGTTGAACTTTGACCCTGTCGTGTCCATTGGCATGGTAAGCTGACTGTGACAGCATAAAGAAGCTGCAGTAAGTTCTCACCCAGCCTTCTCAGTCTCCAATTGGCAACACAGCTCCTTCAGCTTTCCCTTGACTTCTGACCCCTGCTTCTGGAGCTTCTGCACTTCCTGCTGGGCCTGCTCCCTGGCAGCACGCATCTCCACCCCCTCCGCCTCCGCTTTCTGTCACAGGCACAGAGAACACACACACACAGCCATTTCAGTGACCTCACAGTGACTGTCTACTGCAACCCTGATAGCAAGATGTGTGTATGCGCTAAACCCCCTTCATATCGTAATAAACACAAATCTTGTGTGTGTGAATGCGTGCATTTAACTTACCTTGGCCCGCACCTCCAGCTGCTCTACGCGCTGTTCTGAGATCAGTAGTTTGTCTTTGACCTCTTTCAGACTGGCATCCAGCTGGCCACACTGCTCCTGTCTCTCCTGCAGCCTCCGGCCCTGCTCCTCCCCACACGCCTGGCTCTTACTCAGCTCCTATAAGGACAGGAGAGATGAGGTGTTACTAAGGCCCCATTCAAATTCTCTAAAAGTGCATCCTTCTTTCCTTGAAGTAATCATTGACTAGACATGATTGGACAAGAGAACACAAGGGCTCCACCACATTACTTTCCCCTGTCCTGTCTAATCAGTGATTACTTCAAGGAAGGAAAGATGCCCTTTTCCTCCCCAATTTCGTGGTATCCAACTGGTAGTTACAGTCTTGTCCCATCGCTGCAACTCCCGTACGGACTCGGGAGAGGCGATGGTTGAGAGCCATGCGTCCTCCGAAACACGACCCTGCCAAGCCGCACTGCTTCTTGACACACTGCTTAACCCGGAAGCCAGCCGCACCAATGTGTCGGAGAAAACACAGTACAACTGTGTCAGTGTGCATGTACCCAGCCCGCCACAGGAGTCGCTAGAGCGCGATGGGACAAGGACATCCCGGCCGGCCAAACCCTCCCCTAACCCGGGCGAAGCTGGGCCAATTGTGCGCCGCCTCATGGGTCTCCCGGTCGTGGCCGGCTGCGACATAGCCCGGGATCGAACCCAGGTCTGCAGTGACGCCTCAAGCACTGCGATGCAGTGCCTTAGATCACTGCGCCACTCGTGAAGCCCCCGGAAGGATGCACTTTTAAAGAATTGGAATGGGGCCTAGCCCTCAGCTAGGACACATTGTCTCACAGACTCAGGTTCATTTGAGAAAAGAAATCAATCAGTGATATTATGTCAAGAGACGGGTCTCCATTGAAGGAGTATTCTGGTAGATCAGATTTTCATCTAGTATGAGCCTATTCTGCTGACGTCATCCATCTTAGCCTGCAGTACTATGAGTGAGCTGACCTCAGACATAGAACAGAAATAGAAACTATGGCTGACCTGCTGCTTGTCCTGCAGTGCATGCTGGGCCGTCTCCAGGTGGTTCTCCAGGTCTACTCTCTGGGCTGCCTTGGCTGCCTCGGCCGACAGCAGCATCTCTGTCTTAGCCTTCAACTGGGGAAACAACAAGACAACTTTTCAGTGCTGGAATCTGGTTGAGTGGTTAACACTCTTCACATGCCCGTCTGGCGACGGGGGTTCGACCCCCAGCTCGGCCACAATCTGCCTGTGCTCCTATTTGTATGTCCCTCTCTCCAGTCAAGGGTAAAGGGGGAGGTAGAATATTTATCCAGCCATAAGTCCATTCACCCTACCTGTGTGTCCAGTTGGGCCACCTTCTCCCTGCTTTCGGTCAGCTGGGCGTTCAGTTCCTTTAGAGAGGTCTCCACAGCCTGGGCTTGGTCCTGTGCCGCCCGCAGGAGGGTCTTCTGCTCCTGCAACTGCTTGTGGAGGTTGTCCTGGGCCTGCTTGTGGCTCTCCGATTGGTTCTTCAGTTTGTCTGTCAGGTGTGTGACCTATAGCTCCCAAAACAGAAAGAGAGAGACAATGAGTTGTTTTTCAGACAATGATTAGGCTACTGTATGTTTTTACTGTGGTACATTGTATCACGTCAGTAGTGTTCTTTGAACTACATCAAAGCAAATCAAAGTTTATTGGTTGCATACACAGATTTGCAGATGTTATCGCAGGTGCAGTGAAATGCTTGTGTTTCTAGCTCCAACAGTGCAGTAACACCTTGCAATACAAAAAAATACACACAGAATCCAAAAAGTAAATAGAAAGAAATTAAGAAATGTCGGAACAAATCCAATTACCAACCCATAAAAGCACTGCAACAGTAATCCAAATGCAATCTATACGTATCTACACTGGATGAATTTACACCTATGCACATTAATTGAATAACACACATCTACGGATCATTGTACCGCACTACGTGTGCCCTCTGTATTATGTGTTTGTATACGTCTGTATGTGCATGCACGTGTGTGTGGTCTTGCTCCTACCTGCGTCTAGGGCTGGGCGATATAATCCCAATATTTTTCAATTTTTTTACGGAATTACGTTATTTTATGTTTTTGAATAATACAAGTTCTAAATATGCTTTATGAGTAGTGCATTACCCTAGGTTGGCAACAAATACATTCTAAGTGGTTTTAAATGGGGCCTTCTCTTTTCTGATTGTTTTAGATTGTTCAAACTACAACCCAAAATAATTTTCAGCATTTTCATCAATTTCTGCATTCCTTCACTAATTTGTTATCATTTCCACACTGTACCACACTTGTTTTGTCTTTGTATGCCTCTATTTTGTAAAAAAAAAAAAAAAAAAAGTCACTTTTCCTTTATCAGAATAATTATTCTTCTCTTTGACAAAGTATTTTCAATAGATTCAATGTCAGTTCTTACTTTCGCCACAAGGGGCATTGTGCCGATTTCTAGGGTGCTTTTGGCACCAGAACTGCCTCACAGGCAAGATTCATGGCAAAAAAAAGTGCATGTGCGCACATTCGGCACTAGTGCTGCCTCACAGGCCCTATTCATGAGAAAAAGCTCTTGCTAGCAAATTAGCAGTTCAACTGTTCGTTTTTTACTGGCGGTAAGAACGGACGATTGCCACCCTTTTTATCACTCAGTTTTTACATGTATATTACATTTAACAAACCAAACATTGTAATACCGTTATGTAAGGTAAAGTAAATATCCAAACCGGTCCGTGCATCAATACCGTATATAGTAAAATACGGTTTACCGCCCAGCCCTACCTGCGTCTGTAGTGTGTGGTTCTTCTCCTGTAGCTGGTTGAGCACGGCCGCCTCTCCCTCCCCAGCCTGGATTTTGGCCACCAGGTCCTCCCTCTCGGCCTCCAGCTGGCTCACACTGTCCTTGCTCTTCTGCAGCAGGGCATCCAGGTTCTGGATCTTCTGGTCCTTGTCCCCAATCTGACGCAGCACCTGCTCCAGGTCATTCTAACATGACAGGGACAAAGCGGCAGAGGGAGAAGAGTCAAACAAACGTGCTGTCTGAAGCACTTTCTAAGCAGAAGTCCTGGGTCCTGTTCATTAGACATCAGACAGGAAAAGAAATGGACTGAAACGGGGTGGGACGACATGGTCTTGTCCAATAACAAATGTTGTTTTCTGTTTTGCTAAGGTGTGCCCTAGTAAATACGACCTTGTACTAATGTGTGGTGGGTTTTCTGGTGCTGAGCATCACTTCACATAGGTTCTACTATACACACACAGTGAAAGAGGTGAGTTGTACTGACAAAATACTTTTCTTTAACTGCTACGTTGTCCGGTAGTACCTGTGCCTCTCGCAGCTTGGTGTTGGTGTTCTGCAGCAGGCCCTGGAGCTCCTGGTGTTGCTGCTTAGCTTTCTCCAGCTGGTGCTGCAGGTCCAACGTCTTACTGCTGTTCTCCTTCAACTACAGCAGGACACGCATACAGAGGTCAACCCCAATACAGTACCTCTGTTTATGGCCTCATTCCGAACCCCCACCTATAGAGAGACAATTCTACTAGGCAGGCCAATCTATAAAGGACCTTGTGCAACATATAACAGTATCGGTCTCTGTTCAACTCTACTGCTCCCATAAAAATACATGGTCGATATCACAGCTGGTCCACCCATCAGGGAACATGGACTTAAAGGGACACTTCAGGATTTTGGCAATGAGGCCCTTTATCTACTCCGATGAACTTGTGGATACCATTTTTATGTCTCTGCATGCAGATTGAAGACATTTGCTAACTAGCGTTAGCGCAATGACTGGAAGTCTATAGGTATCTGCTAGCATGTGCTAGGAGATACCCATAGACTTCCAGTGATTGTGCTAACGCTAGTTAACATTGGCGCACGAAACACTCTCTAACTTCCTTCATACTGGACACAGAGACATAAAAATGGTATCCACCTGCCTCTGGGGATCATTGCCAAAATCCCGAAGTATCCCTTTAAATGGGAATGTCTGTTCTAGTAATTCTATGTCTATGTCTATACCCATCTTTTATGGAACTCGTGGTGTCCCTACCTGTTCCTCTGAGCGGGACAGTTTGATCTGCAGGTCGGCGGCTTGCTGCTCGCGGTCCTTCAGTTTCTCCCCAGAGAGCTGCCTCTGCTCCTTCAGACGGCCCTGCACCTCCCCCAGCTGGCGCTCCGCCTCCAGCAGCTTAGCATGCAGCTACAACACAGAGGAGGAGGGGAGGAAGAGAGGGAGGCTTATACCTAATATACAGTATCATTAATGAGCAAAGACTTGTGTGCGTCTGACCTGTGTGTGTGCACGTGTTTGCCTGTGCGCGTGTGTCTCACTGGTGTCTGTGTATGTTTATATGTATGTGTGAGAGTCTGACACGTAAGTTATTGGTGTCTGACCGTGTGCATGTGTTACTCACTAACCTGGCTGATCTCACTCTGCTGCACCAGGCCCTGGCTCTCCCTCTCCTCCCTCTGCTGCTGCAGCTGCTTCCTCTCCATCTTCACCTCCCTGTGCTTGGCCTCCAGCTCAGCCACCTCCCTTCGAAGCCTCCCGGCTTGGTCCCCCAGCTCCCCCAGCTCTGCCTGGGCTTTCTGCAGGCTGGCCTCGGCAGCCGCCGCCCGGGCCTGGAGCTCTTGCACCTCCAGCTCCTTCTGGTGCAGGCTGGCCTGGGCTGTCTTCTTGGAGACCTGCTCAGCCCTCAGGCCCTCCTCCAGCTCCTGAAACTCCTTCTCCCTGCGCACCAGCTTCTCTGATAGCATCTGGAGGAGGGAACCAGAGGGGGTAAAGTGATTATGGTCCTGTGTGGCTCCGTGTGTAAGACTGTGGTGCTAGCAACACCAAGGTCGTGGGTACAATTCCGGCAGAGATCATCACAAACACATAGATGTATATGCTTACATAAGTTATATAAATTGCTTTGGATAAAATAGTCTGCTAAATGGCATATTAACAGGTTGTGAAGAGGCATTTCAGAATGTTTTGAAATACAGAAACGGATACTCTAAGGGGCAATCTGCTAAAGGGCGTAAGAACCTTCCCGCTTCTGATTTCAAGGTCATGTGTAATAGAAAAACTAAATGGAATGGAAACTGTTATACACACACAGCTCCTTAGAATAGTTGCCATTGGGAGATGTTTACCAAAGTGAGGATATGAGGATTAATTTAATAGGACTCTTATTAACAGCTCAGTTCCTGTTAAACCAAACAAAATGTACAGATGCCTTCTCACGTATCATAGTGACGTTGGTCGTTCAACCTCTGAAAAGAACACTGCATCCCTACAGACCTGCAGAGGGGGGTGGAATTACATTTCAGAGGAATATGTTTTACGACAGAAACTTGAATACCGGGGTGTGTGTGTGTGTAGTAAACTTGGCACAAGGGCAATGATATAGGATACAATTGTGTTAATGACAATGCTGCTAACTGGGGGACATGACTGGGATATAGAACATCCCAGACACTGATCTTTTGCCGCTCCTCCTCCTGTCCCACAGCAGCTGAGCCTCGTTTACGAGTGGCTCTATCGCTCCCTCTTCTTTCAAACCCTCTGTCCATCCCTCTCCTTCCATGTCCTAGTTTCAACCTTTGTTCATCTCTCCCCGATTTCTCGCTATCTCCTGTCTTTATGCATATTTTCCCTCCCCTCCCTCGTTGTTTCACTCTCTGTCCAGTATCCACCTCTGCTCTCGGTTTCTACTCAACTTTCCTCTGTCCTCCCGTCTTTTCTTTTCTAAATATTTTTGAGCAGATAGGGAGAGGATGACAGTGGGGAAGGGTGGAGAGGGGTTGTATCATAGGGCAGTAGGCCGGATTCCAACCCATGCCAACACTGTAGACATGCGTTTAAGCACAGAGGCTGCAGCTTAGACAGCTACACTACACCTGTCTATACAATACATCCCCTCTTCTTTCCTCTGTCTAGGTAGCATATGTAAGTATCCAGACAAGACACCAAGCAGACAGGTTTGTTTTATTATTTATTTTAGACCAAGTTTTTATTTGTTTAGTCATTTTTTGTTGGGGGGGGGGTTACAGGTACAATATCAATTAATATATTCCGTTTATATAACATGTACCTGTTGGCTGCCACTCAAAAGACAAACAAAAATAAGAAACACACACAGATAAATTATCATATTGATCAAACAGGATTTTGTAATAATACACCTCCAACTCCCCATCCAATTCTCCCTAGCCCAACATGTCTCCGTCCAACACCCCGCATCCGGAAAACATGTTTACCACCCCTTCTCACCCCGCCTAGCAACTCAGGTTGGTTGTCAGTAGTGCTGAGGCGATTAGTGCTTTTTGAGGTCGGTTCAGTTTCGGTTAGACTATTTTAAAAAATATCACGGTTCCCTCCTCAGTCTCTGTGTATGCTCCGCACAGACTGGACAAGTTTAAGATGGCACGCAATGGATTATGGTCATTGTAGTTCATTACCACGTTTTATGAGCTAAGTAGAATATTGGCCTGTTGGAAACTACAACTCCCTACTACATTGCACAGTTCAGTCTTGATCGGATTTATCTCTACAGAAACTAGCATGTCTTGTGGGTATGATACTGTTTTTGTGCGTCTAACTCTCACTCATCAGTCACGATTCATTCAGGATTATCCGTAATCATGGTAGCATCCACATTAATGTAGAAGTGTTTAGAAACATATTATATTCTTATTAACAATAAAAGTGACTCCAAAATGACACAATACATTATTTACCATTAATTTCTATTGGGCACAAAATAATCTGAAACACAACCAAAACAAACAGCAAATGCATCCAACAAATATGTAGAATCACAAGCATGCTACGAATATGGGACCAAATACTTAACTTTTTACTACTTTAACACACAAGTGAATTTCTCCCAATACTTTTGGTCCCCTAAAATGGGGGGACTATGTACAAAAAGTTGTGTAATTTCTAAACGTTTCACCCGATATGGATGAAAATACCCTGAAATTAAAGCTGACAGTCTGCACTTTAACCTCAGTCATTGTATCATTCCAAAGTCATGTATCAAATCCAAAGTGCTGGAGTACAGAGCCAAAAACAACAACAAAAAACGTCAGTGTCCCAATACTTTTAGAGCTCACTGTGTGTGTGTTACGTTCCCACAAGACAAACTCAAAATGTCGCTCACAACAAAGGGAACTAAAAAAGAAAAATCACTGACAACCAAACAAAACAGAAAGGGGTTCAAAAGGGGTTCTGAAAGGCACCCATGTGGGTGCCCACTGAAAGTTGGTAAAGCCACAAGTAAGGGGTTCTTAAAGACACCCACCATGGATGCCCACTAGGTTTGCCTCCGAAAATACAAACTAAAACAAAAACCCACAACAACTTAGGATAGAGTAAAAGGAATATGGAGCAAAACAAACAGGGGAAACAAACACCAAAACTCAGCTTCTTTCCAACATCAATAGGTTGAGCTTGAAATAACACCACAGCTGATGTAAAGTGTAGCTCTCCCCAACATCTCTCAAGCTCAACTGGAGCACTGGGCCAGCCACTCCTAACTAGCACCTGGGCCAACACAGGTGAAACACCTTCCCACTAACGAGATGGCAACCAGCACAGGAGTAACACTTACTGACTGACGAGGTGACGCCAATCGGTGCGCCCTACGAGCTATACGTGCTAAAGTCCAACCTCAAAACATAAATGGAAAAACCAAAGACTAACACTGTACACGTACACACAGTGCATTCGGAAAGTATTCAGACCCCTTTACTTTTTCCACATTTTGTTACGTTACAGACTTATTCTAAAATTGATTCAATTCTTTTTTCCCCCCCTCGTCAATCTATACACAATACCCCATAACGACAAAGCTAATTTGTGCAAATAATTCGGGCTCCCGAAGACACTCCTGCGTTGTCTTGGCTGTGTGCTTAGTGTCGTTGTCCTGTCGGAAGGTGAACCTTTGTCCCAGTCTGAGGTCCTGAGCGCTCTGGAGCAGGTTTTCAAAGATCTCTCTGTACTTTGCTCCGTTCATTTTTCCTTGATCCGGACTAGTCTCCCAGTCCCTGCAACTGAAAAACATCTCCACAGCATGATGCTGCCACCACCATGCTTCACCGTAGGGATGGTGCCAGGTTTCCTCCAGACGTGACACTTGGCATTCAGGCCAAAGAGTTCAATCTTGGTTTCATCAGACCAGAGAATCTTCTTTCTCATGGTCTGAGAGTCCTTAAGGTGCATTTTGGTAAACTCCAAGCGGGCTGTCATGTGCCTTTTACTGAGGAGTGGCTTCTGGCCACTCTACCATAACGGTCTGATTGGTGGAGTGCTGCATAGATGGTTGTCCTTCTGGAAGGTTCTCCCATCTCCACAGAGGAACTCTGGAGCTCTGTCAGTGACCATCGGGTTCTTGGTCACCTCCTTGACCCAGGCCCTTTTCCCCCCAATTGCTCAGTTTGGCCGGGCGACCAGCTCTAGGAAGAGTCTTGGTGGTTCCAAACTTCTCCAATCAAGTTGTAGAAACATCTCAAGGATGATCAATGGAAACAGGATGCACCTGAGCTCAGTTTCGAGTCTCATAGCAAAGGGTCTGAATACTTGTGTAAATAAGGTATTTCTGTGTTTTATTTTTAATAAATTTGCAAACATTTCTAAAAACCTGTTTTCGCTTTGTCATTATTGGGTATTGTGTTTAGATTGATGAGGAAAACAAATAATTTAACCCATTTTAGAATAAGGCTGTAACGTAACAAAATGTTGGGCTTTATAGATTGTTTATTTGTATGGGTTGGGCTTTAGTGGAGATTATTCTTTACAGAGTCAAGTATATTTGTCCAGGCCTTCATTGTTCCTTGACTAGCACCATTAAATTCTCGCTGTCGATAATTCTAATGTTATCACTTCTAATAGTAACTGTATCCACTAGCGAATTGGGAGAGAGTGGGGGGATTGCCATCTAAGAGCCAACACATTTTCTTGCGGCAGAGCTGCCTGCCAGCAGTACTGGAAATACAATTTCAAGTTTGGTACGGAGAGTCCTCCTACGTCTTTCCTTTTATGTAAGTTTAATTTGATCCGGGATCACTTACCTTGCCATATGAATTTTGAAACCACAGTATGAACTGTATCCCAATAGCCAGAAGGGGTAGACATTTGAAGCATTGAACTACAAAAATTCCACCTTTAGAATATATTCATTTTGACAATAGATATTCTGCCGTTTGAAACAACTGGGATATTAGTCTATCTACTGAGGTCAGATCGAATTGATTTGAGCATTGTGTTAAAGTTTCAGGCAATGGTATAATCTAAAGGAAGGAAATATATCTACTCCCAAATATTTAAAATGGTAAATGATTGGGATTCCATAAGTAGAGATGCAGTAGGGCTGATTTAGTTAGATTCATTTTATACATTTAGCTTCATCTCAAGTTATCTATGATTTTCAATGCATTTGGGAGTGATTGAGATACAGTGTCTAGATATAGTAAAATATCGTCTGCGTGTAATGAGATGAAGTGATCAGTAGATTAAGGAAATGTATGTTATTTCCTTTGATTGACCAATTGCCTGGGCCAGGGGTTCAATGTATAATAAAAATATCTCACCTTGTCTGCTGCTTCTAGTGATTCTGAACAGAGAAGAGCAGATATTGCCTGTTATAGCCATGGCTGAGGGATTGGCATATAGAATTTTAATCATATTAATGAAATTGGAGCAAATTCCCATATGTTCCAAGACAGACAAGAGATATGAACATTCTAGTCTAAAAAAGTTTTTCTGCATCGAGAGATAAAACAGCCTAAGGTGCTGTTGTTTCTGATAAAGCATTTAATATATGCAAGTCAGATTATCAGAGGATAAATGTTTAACAAACCTGCTTTGGTCCGTGTGGACCAATTTGGGTAAGTAAGTCTTGAGACGGGACAACAACATTTAGGAAAACAGTATAATATCTGTGTTTATCAAAGATAGGGGGCGATAGTGAGAACACTGGGTGGCATCCTTACCTTTTTTTTTTTAAATAAAAGCGAAATTAGTGCTGTATTTACATCTCTCCCAAATGAAACTTTCTAAACGGCTGTGTTAATAATTGAGAAATAGTGGACCTAATTGATTCCAACATTTTAAATAAACCTCAGGAGGAATACCGTCCCATCCAGATGATTTGACTTTATTCATGCTATCCAATGCTTTTGAGTTCATTGAGAGAGATTTGGGCTCCCAGCGAGGCTGCTTCCTCTGTTGAGAGAAGATAAGTTCTTAATTAATTTTAGAAAGGACTTAGTCTGGGTTGATGTGGATTTACAATCAGAGGTGTACAGTTCTTTATTGAAGCAGAATAATATTTGGATTAATTTGGGTTCTGATAGTGATTCTCCTGTTTCAGATTCAATAGTTGCTATATCAGCTAATTGATAATTACTTCGTAGCTTGTTGGTTGAGTAACTCGATGGATGGCAAATTCTGCTCTTTGTCTTATCAACAAATTAAGTTCCGTCTTGACTTTGGAAAGAGTAATAGCTACCTGGTCTGAAAAACGTGTTTGTTGAGAACACTACAACGGAGTTAACATTTCCAATTCTGATATCTTCTTCAATTGTGATTTATTCAACCCAGATCCAAATGCAGTTGCATTATTTTTTTATATAACCTTTGGTGGCATCCCATAGAATCCGAGGGTTAGACCGATTTTTTTTTTAAATCATTATGAATTAATTTAATTACATTTCAAATCGATCACAGAATGTCAGATTTTGTAGTAATGAAATGTTCAAACTCCATCTTGTGGCTCTTCTAGGAGATTCTGAAATGTGTAGTTGGCAGTAGTAGGCATGATGATCAGACAAGCTCATATGTCGAATTCCTATTTTCTTAATTTTTGAAAGTAGAGGTGTAGATAATATAAAATCGCTTCGTAACAATGTTTTAAATATGTTTGAGTAGAAAGTGTACTCTTTTGCTTTTGGATTATGTGCTCGCCAGGCATCAAATGAGGTTGCAATCAGAGAGTACATGTTGAAGAGCCTTGGTTCCGTGTGGATTGTAGTTGGTCTTATTAGACTTGTCCCCCATGTCCAAAATGGCATTAATGTCTGTCCCAATAACCAGTTGGAATTCAGTTAATTCTAACAATATTCTGTATAAAGAATTTAAAAAAACGTAGGATCATATGAATTTAGAGCATACATATTAATAAAAGCAATTTCTTTCCATTATGGATACATTTAAGGAAAGTGATTCTGCCTTCTTGGTCTTCGCCTTTACCCTAGATGGTGATTGAGTTTCTTATGTATCATTATGGATTACACCTTTAGTTTTGGTTGGGGCTGATAAAAAAAGCAGCCAGTTTGTACAAATGGTTCTGCATTCTATGTGCATCCATTTGGAGCAGGTGTGTTTCTTGGAGCATTGCTATATTAATATGGTTTCTTGCTAGGATATCAAGACAGCTGGAACGTTTTGATAGGACAATTAAGCCCTTTCAAATTCCAAGAGAGAATATTAATTATATAATTGTTATCTTTAGTGTTGATAAGTCCATGGATGTGTAACAAAAATAAGGATTGGGATGCACATTTCTGTACATTTTGCTGCCGACTGACTCATTAACCGGTCAACAAAAGGTAAAACAATTTCCAAACAGTAAAATGACGTGACCAACAGAAAATACTATCAGAGATCTGTATATAATGACGAGATGCTTATGTTTCCACCCTAAAAATGGGAGTCGTCCCAAGGCAGGTGACAAGCTTAGGCCCAAAATAAGCCCATAGAAACACATTGGACTTATTATGGACAGATTTAGGCGATAGTGAAACCTCTCGCTTCGCCTCTTCCTCCCCGATAGTATGCATGCATACAAGGACCTGACATTTTTCATTAAGAGCTTAATGGAAACATGCAACAATAGCAAGCCTATCGTCTTACTGTCAAAAGGCTATAGCCTATTATTGAACATGCAACTCCTGTAACGAAGCAGCTCACAAAACGTAATTTTCAAACATTTGCCCAAATGCAATTTGCGGAAAACACAGTTCTAAACTGCGCACCTAATGCGAGCAGTTCCATATGTGACAGAGATGAAAATCTCTGTTAGAAACTTAGAAAGAGGGGGAATCTAATAGCAACTACTATGATGGGCTGCTAATATGACTAGGATTGTGCCTTTGGCTTCTGGACAACGAAAGAAAGTGGATATGAAAACCAACAGAACAGGAGAGAAATGTTGGTTAATGGCATGAGGAAGTCTTTATAAAATTGCCTCCACATTTCTACGGATGGATTTTCGCAAGGCTACTTTGAAGCAAGGTAAGACATGCCTCTTTACTTTACTTCAAATAATACGTTCAGGTTTCAAACAATTATACTGCCTCAAGCTCACATTGCAAAGTGGTGGGTGACGCGCTGATAGTCAACGGTAGGCAGGCTTTAGCCTATACACCCGAATGGCGAATGGGAGGCGCGCTTTACATGGTCTCCTATAGACCGATAAGCATGACTGGTCAAATGTATTTTCGGCAGCTAACTGAATAACGGTTAACCGTTAACACCCTCCCTGTAAACCATTCCCCCCCTCCCTCCCCAGTTCCCCCCACTCTGCACTATCACTACAGGGTTGCGAGTGGCAGCCTTACCTATGGAGTCTCTTAAGACTAGACCAGTCTGTCCTTTCAGCCTATAAGCATCCTCTAGAGAACGTTGCCGGGCGTTCCTTTAGCATATGCATATCAACCCGCAAGGTGCAGCTAACATAAGCACCAACGCTTGATAAATAGAGCATAAACTATTGTAAAGGATGAATTGCATTAATAAATATTTGTGAAAATATATCAATAAAAAAATATGTAACAATAGTTATTTGTTTAGATAGAGTCAAGGGTGTTTTGTATAATTCTACAAAGTCCTAGAAAAAAACAGTAGGCCTATAGCCTATTTTAGTTTCCCTTACAATAAAAACAGTGTAATCCATTTGATCAACTTCATTTGAAGATTCGATTAGAGTTATAGTAATTTTTTACGTCCAGTTACAGCTTCTTTTAACAAAGTAGAATTGAAAAATATAATAATAATAATAATAATATAACCAGCCAGGTGCACAAATGAAATTATTTGCTTTATTGCTAAACAAAAGCACCAGTGCATGAACAATTATAAAAAGGATGAATTGCATAAATAAATATTTGTGGAAATCTAAAAACAGTCATTTGTTGATTGTCTCGGACACTACTGTGCCCTTATACTCGTGCCTTTACGCATGAATCAATCTCGTCTTCTCTTTATGCTTTGGGTCCACAGTCAGCGTTGGGGCTTTGTGTGAGCAAGCCCCACAAACAAATCGGTTGCACTGCACACAGTTTTCATGGGCCTTGTTTCGTTTGCACCTGCCGCAGGTGTCGCATAATCTCTCTGAAGCGGTTGCGTGGCATGGTCTCTCTGAAAAAGTCCACCCCATACCAATCAGACCAAAATGACTCCAAATCCATGCTCTTTCCACCATATGCCCCAAGGATATACAAGATTGCAATAAACGATTACAGTTCTTCCATAGACATATCCCACACTGTTTCCTTTTCTGTGTGCATGAGCAACAGTACAATCTCTGATGTCACATAAATTCGTCACTCTTTTCTTCCCAAACCGTGCCATCCCTCCCGGACTCTTGTCTCACCGTGGCAGTTGGCTCTGTTCTGGTTTTTCTGCGGCAGAGGCTCAAAGTCAACATCAGAATCAGATGAAGACCCTTCATCGGCAATGTCGATTTCAAGCTCAATATCTGATCCTCCATCCGATTCCAACTCATCTAAATTCTGCAGCATTTGCAATGCTGTCAGTGCGTCCATTCGTTTGGTTCAGCTTGCCATTGTGAACTACACACATTGTATGTTGTACTCATTTTACATTTTAGTCATTTAGCAGACGCTCTTATCCAGAGCGACTTACAGTTAGTGAGTGCATACATTATTTTTAATAAAATAAATTCATACTGGCCCCCCGTGGGAATCGAACCCACAACCCTGGCGTTGCAAACGCCATGCTCTACCAACTGCGCTACATCCCTGCCGGCCATTCCCTCCCCTACCCTGGACGACGCTGGGCCAATTGTGCGCCGCCCCATGGGTCTCCCGGTCGCGGCCGGCTACGACAGAGCCCGGGTTTCGAACCAGGATCTCTAGTGGCACAGCTAGCACTGCGATGCAGTGCCTTAGACCACTGCGCCACTCAGGAGACTCCGTGTCTGATTTGATTCTGAGGGGAAATTGTATACCATTTCCAGCCTTTCATAATAAAATAATTAGACCGCCCACAATTCTTCATCATTACACTACTGTTCTAAATTCAATCATCTTCACCCTCATCATTCAGATCAAATCAAATTCAAATCCTCCTCTTCACCCTCATCATTCAGTTCATTGAAGTCACATGCACCATTATCAGTTTCTAACTGCTTTCTATTGCCCATTCATCCATTGACGACAGAATAGCATATTTTAATTTTAATTGTATTATGTTACCAGCTTTTGCTTAATAGCCAGAGCAATGCTGCCACGCGAGTGGTCATGTGCTGAATGCATGGACAGCACACATATTCTTGGAAAAAGTTACATTTGGAATTTTGAAAGTTATTTGACAAATGTAAGTGTCATAGAAACTGCAGAATATGCTATTTCTGATACTATATAGAAATCTAAATATTTTACTGCATGTGACTCTGAAGGATGATTTGATAAAGAGATGCTCTTTTCCCTCCATCTGTAAATTACAAGATGCACCCATCTCTTCATGTACAATTTGACAACTGACAAACCTAATATTGTCACTCATCAGAATATTGCCAATTTTATCTTGTCTATAGGCTAACTCATTCTGTGTGAAATTAGTTTTGGTATAGTTTAGGTGTAGTTTCAATGGGCCGGCTGTGCAGGCTGACTGGCATCATTTGTTTCCCGCTTATCAACTTGGATAGAGTCAAGGATATGTTTTGTATTATTCTTAAGGCCTATTGCAACACATAGCATGTTTTTGTTTCCCCTTACAATAAATCTGATTAGTAATAGAGTTACAGTAAATAAAACAGTCCTGTAAAACGTCAGATACAATGATATCAACGCAGTCAAATTATTAACATGAGCGCCAACGCTGATAAATAGGCATAACAAACTCATCATTACACTGTTGTTCTAAATTAAAATCAACCTCTTCACCCTCATCATTCAGTTAGGCCTCATTTCAATTTGATTGTGAAGTAACTTGCACAATTATCGCCCATTCCATACATTTGTCATTCATTCAGTAGTCTGGTATCGTTTGCGTCGCTGGATAGAGTCAAGGATATGTTTTGCATTATTCTAAAAGACCTACCGCAACATGTAGCATGTTTTCATTTCCCTTACAATAAATTAAAATTAGTAATAGATTTATAGTAAATAAAACTGTCCCAAAACAGCTTATTTTTACAGGTATCAAGGCTCTAAATACTTTTCTGTTTGTGATTTAAAAATTCTAACAAATAAGCAGTGTAAAATACAAACATTTAGGGAAGGAGCAGGAATTATTTAAATTTTTTTGCAATTTTATTTATTTATTCACAAAATCAAAACGTCAGTGGCCGTTGGCCTATGGCGGTTCTAGTGTTAAGCAGCATATTTTTTTGGGGGGGGTCTTTAAGGTATTCAAAAATAAATTAAATTAAACAAAATAAGTAACAATTTTCAGACCTTTACATTTTAGTTTGCATACTTGATGAGTTAGGGTGGCTAATGAAGAAAAAAAAGACAGAAAAGGAAAAAAGTTGGCTAAATATAACTGGTATGCAAGCCTAAACAGTCAAATAGGATGGCTGTAGGAGAAAAAGCTCTTGATTCATTATTATTAGCAATATGGTTTAAATGACATTAAACAAATAAAGTCATTAGCGTAAATGGAGGGGGACAGCAATCAACATAAAAATATTAAGGAATTGTGTGGTAGCCCATATGGGACTGGCCATCTATCCTAAACAGTAGTACAATAACAATTGTAGGGGAATAGCTTCCAATTTATATTGCCATATTTAGAGCATAGGGAAGCAATGCGCTGTAGCCCCACAAGGAAGCAGCCCCAGTCTGTATGACACTTCAATATATTGGTAATTTTTTATTCATAAGTGTGGCGTCATCATTGTCTAAATGGCCTGGACCATAGGCAATATAATAATAAGTCCAATGTTTAGCAATAATAAAGTGTTCCTTTTACCCAATTGAGGGGGTGTCTTCATCATTGTCTTAAGCTGTGGGCAGCATCATAGTCATAGGCTAGAATGTGTGATTGTGCATGGAAAGCGTACCTGAATATTGAGCCAGTCAAATTGGGGTTAGCATAGATCTGTCAGTTCGTCCCCTTGTGTGTTGGCCTTGATGTGCTTTTTGAGGTCTTGAGTCTCCTTGGCAGTGGAAAGTGTGTGTGTTGTATTCTGGAAGGTTTGAGTTTTGTCGGGTGGATGAAGCCGCATCTCAGGTTTAGCTTGTGTAGCTGGGATCACACCTTGTAGGTCGCCCTCTGTTTCAGCAGTTCGCCGTCTGACTACAAAACTGTGGATTCGTACAATCATACACAGAGATTCGTTGTGGAGAGGACACGTGCGGTGCACAATGTTTATCAGTGGCATGGGACCCAGCTTCTCCAGCCCAAACAGTTCATAGAAAAGACTGCTCATTAAGGAAGTTGGGTTCCCATGTCCACACCAGTTTCCAGTCCTGTGACCCGCACATTGAATTTCCATTAACTATTTGAGTGATTCTGTTGCCTTTTTTAGGAGATAGATGACCATCTTATTTCATGCTATTTCCAGGTCATGGAGTCGCCCCTCTGTCACATTGGCTGCTGTCTCCAAATGTTCCACTTTAGTTGAGTAGGTATCCACTTTAGAAGTGAGCAGTGCAAGAGATTAATTTACCGGTTTTAATTGCAAGTTGAGGGGAGAGGTAATTTCCTCACGAACAATCTCTTGGACAGTACCGGCCAACTCCTTCTGTTTTCGGGTGTTGAGACGCCATTTTCCCCACAGGTGAATTGTGAACGGACAGATTATGCTAGGTGCTGGAGAAAAATACACCTGCTAGTTGTTCCTTGTAATACAGTGAACATCCCACACCTTAATATGGTGTTATATGTTGACAATTAACTGAAAATAAGTATCTTATTTCAGAGTTATATTGTAAAAGAAAGCCACAAGAAAGTCACACGTTTCAATGCATGCCACCGGAAAATCACGTAATTTTTTTATCTTTTATTTAACCAAGGAAGTCAAATTGAGATTTACATCTCTTTTTCAAGTGAGCCTGAGTGGGGGTTCTGTGGTGGGCTACCTTCCAGCTCCCTAATCCCCCCTCTCTCCCAGACACTTACTTGGGGAACAGAGAGCAGCTGTGTCGGCAGCACGACCAACACGCCGGACATTTACATTTACATTTTTGGGGCTTTAATTCCTATCTGGCAACCCAAACAACAGCCCTTAAAGCTGAAAGCCCCACCGGGCACATCGCTGCGGTTACCTGCAATTGTATATTTCAGCCCAAAGTGACAGGTTGCCATGGCAGGGGTATGGCAGAGATTAACCCCCGGCTGGTTTAATTATAGGCCTGTGGTTGTGTGTGTGCATGCGTGTTTTGTCAACATGTGAAGTTGCCAATGAAAGCTCATCACAGGCTGGTGACAGCAGAGCATTGAGATGGAGAGGGTGGTACGTGCGGAGGCTGGGTTAAGATACTTAGAGAATGGCCTTGCAAGGCTACCACGTTTTAGCGAGGGGCAGTCGGTATGGCACGTTAAAATGACTGCAGTCACCGTAAATTGGGGACTTAGTGTCTATTGCTATTTCGGTTGGCACATCCATAGGTGGAAGCGCAAGTGTTAGTGTTTCATCTGTTGTTAGGATTGTAAAGGTGTCAAATTAAGGTGTCAAACTAAGTGTCTTAACGGGAGGTCAATACCCTGAATTTGTGATGGTGGTGACATGGACTGATGGAGCATCGATTAAACTATGGGAGGGGAAGTATTAGTTGTGTGAAAGTGTGTGTGTGGAATTGTGTGTTACCTGGATCTGTTGCTGCAGGTTGTTCAGAGAGCTCTGGAGTTGGTGGATCTGCTGGGTGTACACGGCTGCCTCCTGAGGTCCCTTTTCTAGCTCTGCCTTCAGCTGGGAGATGGTCATCTGGAACATACACAAAAACAATGTGAGATACTTTACTTTGTATACATGAAAAACATTCACATGCCTTTGTGTCAGATTCTGGACGAGTGGTCAACACTCCAGATTCAGGAGAATTACACACCCACTGGCGACATGGGGTTTAACCACAAATAAAAAAATATTTTAAAAGCATTCACATGCCACGACTTGGCATTCTTGAAAAGACAAAACAGCAAGCCTACAGAGCATCCATACAGAACAAAGAGCGAGCCGAGCAAAGAATCACAATTTGTATGCAGTCACATAAAAACAAACATACAGGGAGCAGGGACACCTAAAATAAAGAAATCACATTCCTGATAACGAAATCTGCACATCGTCCAGCTAGGTGACCCTCGGGAGCAAGCAGGAAGCGGTTGTTAGTGTTACAAAGTTGGGGTTATTAAGCGGATCTACTAAAGTCGGGGTGGATGGGTCGTGTAGTCTAGCACAGTTAAAACAGGTTGTGGACAGGGTGTGGTGTAGTCTAGCCCAAGTAGGACAGGGGTGGATGGGTACTGTAGTCTACTAGCCCATGTAGGACTACAGGATGAGCCAGGCAAGATCTCCATGAACCTATGAGCTTTATTCACAATTTATTATTCCGTTATAAAAGGTCATGTGAGTCCTTAACAGTAGCGACCTTCAACAAAATGTATTCATATGCAAAATACTTCAGCTTTTTATATTCTGAAGTGATGCAAGTTGTGTCATCTATTAGGAGAGCCAATTAAAATAAGTTTGTGTGTGTTTGTGTATAAAGCTCATTTAGCATATTTCTGCCTAATTATCTATGTTTGGACTGCTGTTGAAATCCCGAGAGATTAAAGCGATTGAAACAGAAAACAAGAGGCTGATGTGTCACCCAGAAGAACCAGTGGGATTCTAAACTACTGTCCCAGGCAGTTAACTCACCACAACAGCAGCACTCGTTAATTAATTACAGCTGAAGGCTATTACGTAATTAAAAGAATAATAAACAAAAAACAGAGCCAAGGTCTTTTAATATTTGAATGTATTCATTCAATCCCTTATTGTGCAGTTGAATATATCAACCAGAGGTCTGTATTGCAGTCCAGAGAGGAGACTGATGGGAAATGGGGACTGGCAGAGAGAGATAGAGATTGAGGGGGACCTGGAGCGGACACAGGTTTCATCCAAAATAACACCCTATTCCCTATTTAGTGCACCAGGGACCTGCCCAAAAGTAGTATACTATGTAGGGAATAGGGTGCCATTTGGGATGAACCCACAGTCAGAAATACTCCCTGCTAGTCTTCTCCTTCTCCTCCCAAAGTCAATAATGCATGAAATATCGCTGAATTATGCAGAGACAGACACTGCAGGATCAAACATCCCTTTATCTAAAAACATTGAATATGAAGTTTATTGTAGCCAATCTAGAGCGTGTTTTTAAGTGTAGGTGCTAGGTGAGGGAGAGTCAGTGTAACGTCTAATCAGTGTTTACGACTAGGCAAAGGTTGTAGAACGAGAGTAAAAGGGTTTCTGGTTAATGAGAAATGGTTAAACAAAAACTTCATATCCACTTGGAGAACCCTTCTATGATGTCAACGCGATGTGAATGAAGTACGCGACAATTCAACAATTGTTAAAGGGCATATAAAACGTTTCCTTTTTCATTCACTTATTTACATCGTTTTCTGACTGTGTATGTGATAGGGATGTGCTTCTCTCTTTACAAGCACGATTCGATACGAATCTATACTAAACAAAAATATAAATGCAACAATTTCAAAGATTTAACTGAGTTTCAAAGATTTAACTGAGTTCATATAAGGAAATCATCACTGAAAATTAGAAAATCTATAATTCACCTGGGACTACACAATTTCTGTTGGCACCGAACGCAAAAATTAATGGGCCTCAAAACACTCAGTCTGCACGGTTTTCATTAAATTGCATTGATAAATGCATGTGTTCGCTGTCATAGCTAGCTGCCATACCATAACCCCCGCACCATGGGCACTCTGTTCACAAGTTGACTCAGCAACCGCTCGCCCAATGACGCCATGAAGTGGTCTGCGGTTGTGAGACCGGTTGGACGTACTGCCAAATTCTCTAAAATGACATTGGAGGCGGTTTATGGTAGAGAAATGAACATTCAATTCTCTGGCAACAGCTCTGGTGGACATTCCTGCAGTCAGCATGCCAATTGTATCTGTGGCATTGTGTTGTGTAACAAAACGGCACATTTTAGAGTGGCCTTTTATTGTCGCCAGCACAAGTTGCACCTGTGTAAAGATCATGCTGTTTAATCAGCTTCTTGACATGCCACACCTGTCAGGTGGATGGATTATCTTGGCAAAGGAGAAATGCTCACTAACAGGGATGTAAACAAATTTGTGCACAACCTTTGAGAGAAATACGTTTTTTGTGCGTATGGAACATTTCTGGGATCTTTTATTACAGCTCATGAAACATGGGACCAACACTTTACATGTTGCGTTTATATTTTTGTTCAGTGTAGATACATGGGCTCAGATACCATGCAAGAATGATACTTTTAGTTTGAAACAATTCGGTGTGATTCAATTTGATTCGTGGAACGAATCGATGCGGTAAGAATACGATTCAATGCACTAACAATTGTTGCATGAACATATTCATTTTCCATTTTTAATTAATATCTTATAGTGATGCCCTAACCCCTTGGGCCTGCCTTGCACTGAGGAATAGTGAAGATACTAGCAGTAAATACTGGACCAGTAACACAAAACTAAACCAAGATCAAGATGGGCCATTCCCCCTGCAGCCTTACCTCTGAGCTGGTGTGGTCAGCCTGCAGCTGCTCGTATTTGCTCTTGAGGCGTTCTGACTCCTCCTCCCTCTCACGTGTCATGCTGTCCATCAACGTCTGCACCTGAATCAGCTCCTTCCGCAGTACCTCCACGTCCTCCACTCCTGGCCGCTGCAGCTAGGGGGCAGAAGGTTAGAGCAGAGGGGAAGAGGTTTGGGGGAAGTGAAGAGGGGTTAGGGGACCACTTTAGAGTTAGGGTAAAGGTTTGGGGTGAGGTTCATAACATCATAAGTGTCTTTTCTGCCCTCTCCTCTCTGACATAGAAATGAATGACAATGAAAACTATCTGAACTACCTAGAAAGAGATGGTAACCCCAGCAATCCCAGTCATGACTAATTCAACTTCCTTCATCATAAAATACATGGTTATATACATATACATGGTTATATACACTATACACAAACTCCATGTATCCATAACAACAGTGAAGAAAGGACCCTATTAGGTGCAAACATCTATGAAGGCTCCAGGATATCCAAACAGACAACAACAAATTGCCTTAATTTCAGTGTTTATCAGTGAAACCCTCTATTAGCTTTATCGGTCACTGTCATCTTTGTTGACAAATGGGTTTCCCAGAAACTAAGCCCAACATCCAATGTGTTTACTAACAACAAGTACTGAGTACGAGGTGAAAATAAAACTCTGGAAATATAGTCTAGTATGGAAGTTAAAATATAGGCTACAAGCAAATGATATAATCAGTGCAAGTTAGCATTTTCTCAAATATAACATTGTGTTTATTTTTGTGCACTGTGACATGTCTATAGCTGTACAGTATGTGTAGAAAGGTTCCTATCTGTATGTGTGCCTGTGCGTGTGTGTGTGTATATATATATATATATATATATATATATATGTGTGTGTGTGTGTGTGTGTGTGTGCCTGAGTGAGTGTGTATGCATGACTGTATATGTCTGAGTGTGTGAATGCTTTTATGTATCCATGTCTGAGAGTGTTTACACCCAGTCTCTGTTAGTTACCAGTTCAGTGTGGAGCTGGTCCTTGTCCTGCCTCTCTCTCTGCAGCTCCTGGCTCAGGTTTGCCAGCCTCTGGTCTGCAGCCTCCCTCAGGCTCTTCTCCTCATCATAACGAGACTTTACGGCTATCAGGGTCACCAACACACATTAAATAGAATTTCCCTTTAGGGATCAATAAAGTATAAATCTGTCTATTTATCTTCTATCCTTACCCTTACCTCAGAGCTACCTGCCTATGGAACATCCATTTCCCAAAAAATATACATTTACACAATGAATAGTGAAATAGTGTTGTTCAATCAAAGCAGCTTTAGAGGAGCTAAATGAACTATTCCTCAGACTCCCTACTGAACACAACACAATAGATTCACACTATGGCCCAGATAGGAAGTGTGGAGAAGAACTTCCACTGTGGTTTCCAACAGAGTCAGCCAGCAACACACAGTGCTCCCAGTCACACCCACCACACTGACGCTGGATATAAAGATGGCCGCCACACACTAACCCACTATATCTGTGGCCAGCTGGGCAGCCTTCTGCTCAAACAGGTCTTTCATCTGCTTGATGTTGAACGTCTCCGTCTCCGCCTCGTTTAGCTTAATTGCCAGGGCTGCACGGGGGAAAGGGAAAGGAATGAGCATCAATATCTCAGTGATTAAAGTCCATAGGAATTCAAGAACTGGGATGTGTTCATTTGAGCACACCATAGCAAAACGTTGTGCAAGGGAAAATGAAAACAAACATTTCTTATTGGACGATTACATAAAGTACTTATTAGTTTCTGAATGTTTTCTTCTGTTTGGGGCCTAATGAACATGATCTTAATTCACTCACCAGAATCCTCTGAGCCCGTCTGGCCATCGTTCTGTGGAGCCTGAAAAGAGAGGAATACTGATGTCACACCATACCAGCTAAGCGTTGTATCAAGCATTGCCTAACTGTAAAATGCATTTGACTGTAGTTTGTTATTTTATTATCGCTTGACTGCTACCACATCCTTATTTCATGTCAATTCCCCAAGGCATTCTGGTACAATTTGAAATGAAAAATGAAAATGTATTGGAACTGAGGAGGGCTTTAATTTCTGAGGAAGTGACCGTCATAAGATATGATTTGATATTAGGCATCTTAGAGAAATTACTTGCTTCAGGTGTCCTTGCACTTTGTCCAGTTCCTTCTTCAG